ATCTTGAATAAACTTTCCGCAGAACAAAATTTAAATGATCTAATAAAGTGAGACACTTACCGTAAAACTCCAGTCATGAACAGAGCAGATGAACTACAGTATATAATAACACTATTTCGAACTTTCTAAGCGATGCCAGACTTTAATTTCAGAATTACTACTTTACTACGGTGTAAAAGTATAAAACAGTGTAACCTTTAGCTAGTAACCCTAACCGAACCCTATTGCACGTTTATGTTTAAAAACAATCGAGTATTACCATATAAATGAGCTCGGTATGTACAAATTTTGCGGTAGCACAGTACAGTAACGTGACAACGTAAATGAGAATATGAGATGTACCGTACATACAGTACCATACTTACATTTCTTTTACCAGCTATGGTGCTGGAATTAAAATAACGCTGCCAACCTTGAAATTGTTGTGGAGGGCCTGCTTCCGACATAGCACGATATAATAATGATGTCCCAACTCTAAAAAAAATCTTCTAACGTTTGTAAAGTTCTGCACTGCCGTTTGCTGTTAGTGCAGTATAGTTTCGAACCTGTACAGTACCGTAATTTCAGTTGACCTTAAATAGAAGTGCGATTGAGGTTGAGGAATCTGGTTTGCTGTACAGTACAGTACTGTACTGTATTAGTTAATTAAACAACACTAGATGCACTGTACAGTACAGTACAGTACTCTAGTGTACGGTGCCTAATACTGTACACCGTATCATCATCACACGTGCGATGACTCAACTTCACTAACTCAAGCAGTCTTTGCTACGGTACAGTAGTAACACGGTACTAACACCAACCCGCCTAAGTTAGTTAGCATCCGCACTTATGTACTGTAGTACAGTACAGTAAGCTTTACCGCCATGGACTACTAGAGTCTTCTTCTAGCAGCCTATGGTACAGTACAGTAGTAAGTATACTATGTTTCTTTCCATGATAAACCTGGAGGTTCAACATTTTATTTTTTTTTATTAACACTAGTACAAACTCCCGTCGCTTTGCTGACGGTTTACGATAATGTTACTCTAGGCTTCCCCTGAAACCAACCAAAGTGACTCTTAAGATCATTGTAAGCCTCACCTACATCAGTTTAAGTTCTAAACGAAGCAATTTAAAAGTCATACGTACAGTAAACAGGGCCTACTCATGAAAAAATTTATACTTCTCTCCCAAAATCCCCCTGCCAGCCAATATTGAAAGATATTGAACGCATATGATATGAAATGATACATACTGTACAGTACTGTACACTGTACAGTGTACAGTACAGTATGTTACGTACTATACAATGTACGAATGTACAGTACGTCACGTGAAAACGGATGGCCGGACACCCATCTGAAAATGATGGTATATTACTTTATTAAACAACTGTATATATGTCGCGGTCTGTCAATACTACAATAATAAAATTACTTAATAATACTAAATACTGCAATAAAAAGTAATAAAAACATAAAGAGCCAATTGCTATATACTGCACAGTAGTATACGACACACTGCTGCAGCATCTAGTAAAAACTTTTGGTGTACTACTGAATACTAGACACTAATGCAAGAGTATGGCCAAAGAAGTGATTGCCAAGCAGTTAGCAATATCATCTCCAATAACCGCCATTCATTTCTTGCAATCATCTCATTTACTGGCCGGTACATTATTATATATACAGTATATGCAAAATGATAACATGCACTATGTTTCATACGTACACTCTGTAACATACTCATGGATAATTTGTTATGTAAAGTAAAAACTTCTAATATTTTAACTGCAAATAGGAGATACAGTTCGTACTTATCCTATGTGCTGTGTGCTTGCATCATTTATAATAACACAAGCACATTTTAAGTGGATATGTGTGTTTTACATGCAGTTGTCGCATCAAGCTTTAAATTTAGGTATACACGTACGTATATGCAAGATATTTTAATCTTAATCGTTATAAATTTGCGCAATTTAATTTAGGTGAAGGAGAATACTTACATCTTTTCGATGTTTTAACTGGTTGTAAGCAGAACACATCAAAAGTATTGCATGGTTGTAATATCCATGGAATACGATCAGGTTAACCATACGCGTATACATGATAGCATAGAATCGGTGTAATTAGCAAACACTAAAAAGTAAAATAATAAATGGCTAAGAATCGATACTGTGCTGTTGTGGATTTGTCGCTTACATTACTATAACTCTATGATTTCCTGCTGGCATAAATCGATCCATTACGTCTTGTCAGAGTACTATTTTAAAATATTTTCATTAATGTAATACCGTTTACTGCAATGAAGACGTACAAAGTATGAAAATGCGATCTTTGAGTTAATTACATCTTTTCACGTTAAAATAATTAAAGTAATCCGATGTTGACATACAGTTTCGGATAAGTACAGTACAATAGGTACGGTACGTCCGTAGAGCTCACTATTAGGCAATACTGCAGCTCGGCAGATTAGTTTAAAAAGATGTAATATTGTAGTTGTCGGCGAACTCCAATGATGATTGCTTGGGCATGGGTAAGAAATGTTTTGACGACTATTTTGTATATTTAAAATCAGCTTTTTCTAATAACGATTATGTCGTGGCAATATTTGGTGAAAAATGCCTCCGAATCATCAACGTTATTGGAAGTAGTGATCGTTATTTGTTTGAGTAAGTTCAAGTATCTATCCTGTGTGGCTACTAAACTATACCGCTTATTTATCTTATCCTGTATATTGAAATATGTGTAAAATGTGTGAATACCGAATTACCCTTAGCATGTAGATATCGCCCTTCATCTTATACGGCGTAAAATGTAAATGTATGTCAGTAGACGAGTGCATGTGATTATACTTTTCCATTATTATTATTTTGACACTTAATATTCAAGCGGCTATCAACTTCCAGTAAATAAGGACGTTGCCAATTGCATGATTACACCAATCACTAGTAATTCCTCACTACTCTGAAAAGCGTTTACGCTGTTTTTTTTGCATTTTTACTTTCTAGCCATCTAAAGGTCTTTAGTCAGTCAATAATGTTTCGGTATGTACTATACCTTTACCGTATTAACATCGCAACGATAATTCCATCATGATTAAGCGTTTCCTTCGCCCAAATTTGTATCCTCAATTGTAATTTACCCTAATTCCGTAGTTAGAAACGATCATGACTGTAACTTATTTGTATGACCCAGAATGGACACTTTGACCTCGGTATTCAATGTGAAATCTTGGATATGGGATGCTGCATGGATTTATGATAACAATAAAGACATCAGAACGAAGGTATGACAACAAGAATAATAATTATCTGCTCCTATGCAATGCAATTTTGCTAGTAATCATAATTCCAAATTGTAAATCGTGATTGAAAATTATCGCTGAATTAAATTTGAGATAACTTCATGTGCTACCTTATACGCTACTTTCAGGAGCCTATCCTCCTAGCTCTTGTGACTGGGTTAAATGCCGTTGTTATAGTAGAATGGAAAACCCTAAATGTACGTTACGTCGTGCAATGCAACCAGCAGTGTATGTTGTATCAGACTTTGGTGATTTATTACTTTATGAAATAGTACAAAGTTTCCACCACAGTTATTACTAAATTATCTTCCTTAATCGATCATGTAAATAAAGATATTCTGCCAGCTTCGTCAAACATAACTGTACTTTGCTCGAGCTAGCGCTGGGAAGTGGTACAGTTTATAATCAGATTTTATTATGGCGAGCCTTTTCTTCCAAGGAATCATTACAAGAAAAGAAACAAGTAGCAGAAGTTTCCATAAAGCTGATAGGACATGAGGTAATATTCTACTGCAGCTGTAATAAACCTTTAATCAATTACTTAATATATCCATATAAGAGTATGAATTATGTCACCATTTTAAGCACACTATATGAGCAGTGTAATTTCCAAATTAATTCACTTGTAGGGTGCTATTTTCTCAATTACTTTCGCTAATGAAAATTATCTCTGCTCTGCGTCCGATGATCGAAGTATACGATTGTGGCAAGTAAATGAAGATTGGATTTCAGATCCCAGAAAAGAAAGAAAGCCAGTAATATTATCTCCGTTAAAGACCTTCTATGGTCATAAGGCACGAGTTTGGGATGCGTACCTACTGTCTGATTATGTCATAAGTATTGGAGAGGTATTCAGAAATTTCTGATCCGTATAGATCACGACGAATTTTAAATTTGTCTCCTCTTGTTTTCATACAATTTGAATCTTCATGTCAGGATGCCTCTTGTATACTTTGGGACCTGGAAGGCAACATGATCTATTCGTTTAATGGACATATAGTACGTTTATTTGAGTATTACAATCTTTGATTTAGATATATAAACGTAGAGTCTTACAAAATATTATTTACGTCCTTATCAATTCAGGGAAAAAATATTTGGAGTATGGCAATTTCTCCTGATGGATCTCTTGCGGTAGATACAATTGATCTTTTAAGAATCGATGAGATTTCTGATGCTCTTATTTTTTATCTAATGGCATGACAGGCTACTGGTGGTGGAGATGCATCAATACGTCTCTGGCCTATTCTTAATTTTCATCCGCTTGGTAAATCTTCATTTTGGTTTCGTAATCAAAAATTTTAAGCCACAAGCTTTACTTGTCAACAAATTTACACTAGTGTTCCAATTCTCTTTTCAAAGTTGTCAATCAAACAATTACTTTGCCCGTTAATCTCGACGAAAGTGTTAAAACTGAATCTAAGGTAAAACTAATCGTATGTAAGTGTAGTTATTTAATCATATAGTACGGTATACATTGACAGCTTATCAAAGAATTGTTGAAAGGATTTTCCAAGATCGCTTGCTTTGTGGAATGCAACTTCAATACTGCTAATGACAGATAAGGGGTGAATATATAATCTTAAAATTTGACTTACTACATCATCACAATATTTGACACATTTGATCTTATTAGAGTTTTCGTATACATATCTGTCTGTTAGTTACTTGTATCAGTATTCTTGGGAGGTACAGCAACAAAATCCTGTAAGGAACGTCTGGAAATTATTATTTAAAAATATAAATTATGCATCGTATAGCATAATTTCCGTAAATAGACCACACAGGTTGATTGCGATTGGTAACCTTAGCGGAAGCATTTACATATCTTCGATTGGTATGATTAACGCATTAATCAGTTATTAAATTTGTAATAATTATAACTAGATACTGTTACTTTGTACGTCTGGTGACGGTAACGTCTTTAGGTTCTAACAGCAAAGCAGTCGAATTAGAAAATTACTTTTCCGGTAAAGTTTTAAGTCTGGTTTGGGCAATCGGTTACACTGACCACGAATCTGTTAACTTAATTGCTACAGGTCCAGAAGGAGTTATGGTATTATAAGTTTCATGCATTAGTTTTCTTAATTAATAAAAGTATTGAGACCGAGCATAATAACATGGTTATACGTATAATTTTTTAGGTTTGGTTTACAATTGTTAGCACGAAAGATGGATTGAAGACTTACCTTATGAAGAGCATGAATTTGCCTAATTGTAAGCATCGCTGGGTAACCTGTGCACAAATCATCAGCATTTCTAGTGTTAATGATTTAAGTCTTGGTAGTACGAGTAGCAACCGTACAAAGCGGAAGACATGTTTTATCATCTGTGGGGACAGACATGGAACTGTTCATGTATACGATGGAAATGATACTGATACTAGCGAAGTTCATCATAACATTAAGGAGGTATGATGTCATAAGATTCTGTCTTTGCTAATGGTCATAGTATGTTGTTAGTTTAATAATTATACATGCATCACTGATACTTTGCTAAATAGTGGACGAGTGATTTTATTTCATAATACCTACAATTATCAACTTGAATTCCTGATGATATCAGTTATCAAGAATTTAACTTGTTTTATAACCACTGTGGTTATTGCTGCTTTCTTTTCACTATAGGGTATTCTTCCGATTAATTCATTCCGAAATTTGCATGGAGACAACGGTGTTACGTCGATATGTAGTTCTAGAAATCATGTTTTTACTTGTGGTAGAAACGGAATGTATTGCAAGTTTCTAAAAACAGAACGTGGTATTGAGCTAATTGAAAAACTTAAGGTAAATGACTACCGCTTGTATTGCTGTATTTTAATGATACACTTTTGGCTAGCTTTTTAGAAACTTAGCTAGATTTTTGAAAGTTTTATTCGTTATGTAACTAGGTTCCGTTTAAAGGGTTGACTTGGATAGAACGTTTAATTACAATCAGTAATGGCAACTTAATAATAATCGCGTTTCGTTCGAGCAATCTTGTTATTTGGCATGTGGAAAGAAATGAAGTTATTTTTCAAATGGAATGTGGAGGAGGGCATCGTGGCTGGGATATTTGCCTAATCGAAGAAGTCCGCTTTAATTGATAAATATTTTAATATTCGATATTTGCCTTTAAAAGTCTTAACATAGTACGTACTCAAAATATTGATTTTCCGTTTTATCGGTTCTGAAAGGATGGGGGTGTAAGAGGTACCTTCGCTTATATTAAAGCAACAAAAGCCTGTATTTGCAACTTCACTTTGACAAAACCTACTTGTAAAGTAATTTTAAAGGTACTATGCTAATACGGTAGTAAAATCCTTGAGTTTACTGAAGATATTCAAGAAAATTATACGAAATTATCCCGCCTATTTGTAATTAGGAATCACTTCATGGCAGAGAAATTACGGATATTTATCTTTTGGATTGGCGGCGAAAACCTCTTGGAGCTAGTAAGAGATCTGTACAGTATTGTATTTAATTCTTTTATGTAGAATAAGAATCACATTTTTATATTCATCGTATTTTTAAGTTTGCATTCGTAATAATCTATGTCACTAAAAAATCATGAACTCATGTTTGTGGAATAAAGCAACATCGCAACATTCAGGGATAACGGTCACTAGTAGCGAAGATACAAATATGACTATTACAGCGCGTATCCAGTGAAGTTACTAAATACCGAAGTATTTACAACAGTTTACTGTTTAGCGTTCTTCAGTAGACAGTTTACTTTTAGAGTGTTCAAAATTAAATTATTAGATAATTCTGAAAGAGTTATATGCTATCGGATATGCCTTAACATCAATAAAGTTACTGGAAATGAGGGATTTCTAAGAAGATTGAAAGTATGCCGAGACCATATTTCGAGTATTCGAGCAATCGTGGGCTCACGCCTGCAAAGTAATCTTGATGGTTCTGAGCGAGGCCGGATTATCATTTTATTTACTGCTGGTGGACGAATGCTTCTAAAGGCCTGGAAGGTAACTCTGCCAGCTTGTGGCGATGGTGACGTTGCACTGAGTCAGAATTATAACGACTCCGATGTTACTCTTATTTCTGAATTATCACAAAATGAAATAAATTTCCGTAAAAAAGTTAAAACACAGCAAGATTCATCATTGGAAAGCCGTATCATGGCTCTTGCATCTTTTTGTATTGATCAAACCATTTATAGCAAGTTTACTGACGAAAGCATATACTTCGTTGCTGCCGCTTGCTCTGACGGATTAATTAGGTACCGCTGCATATTTTAAAGATAACAATAATTGTTGATATTTACGTTCTTAACTTTTTTTATCGATGTACTGCATTTCAGACTATACGGGTTTTATGCAATCAAGAAAAAATTTAAGTTTATTGGGCAATTGAGTTATCATCAGCATTGCATTCTTAGTATTGATTACTTCATCTATAGCTCAGATGCAAACCGTTATTCTATCCCCTTTTTACTTAGTGGTGCGACTGATGGCAAAATTGCTATTTGGCAAGTCGACACTGCATTATTGGACCAGTTTTCCTTATCACAAGAAGAAGTCTTGCTTGATCCTAAATGTAGTTAGGAAATTTGACGCTATTACTTGCTAAAATTATATAATAATCGTAAAGTCTTCTGAGATGAAACGGGTCTATGTTATTAAGATTATTTTATGATGTGTGCGTGTATTTCTCAGTGAACTAATACTGAATTTCTGTAGATAAACCTGACGTCCTGAAAGCCCATGCCTGTGGTGTTAATAAAATCAATGCGATGCGAGATCCTGGTAAGAAATTACACTTGTGTTGATTAATTATCATGTGATTATAAAAATTTTTGTCAGAGTGCAATTGGAGTTATTTTACAAGAAGTCTGGAATGAAAACGATCTTAAGTCATGTCCATCAATTTTGTTCTAATATGACAATACAAGTAATAACGAATAGGTATCAGATAACTAGCGCAGGAGACGACACAAAAATCTTTCTGTGCTGCATTATCATAAATGAGAGCGGTAATGGTTGCGTTACTGTCTTGAATTCTCAAATTATCGACTCTGCACATACTGCTTCAATAACCGGTTCGTCAAGTGATGTAAATTTAACCGTAATTAAATACTTTAAATTATTAAATGTCTAAAACTCCTTTTATTACAACGTAGGTATCCAGTTCTTGAGCCCTACATATATAGTTTCTGTATCAATTGATCAACGTTTAAAAATTTGGTATATCCCAACTGATGCCAAAGTAAAGAACTCTTCCTAGTTGTACTCATATTTAGAATATTTATTAGTAATTGTAATTAATCACTTATAACATATTGTAGTTTTGTTCAGTAAAGCGGATATTCTCCAGTTTTGTTAATGTTGCCGACGCTTCAAATCTACATGCTTGTCCAATCGGGTAAGAAACATTTAGCTTTTTTAGGTTATTAAAGCAAAAAAATTGAAAATTTCGCACGAATAGTCAATGCGAAACGATATTTCTGGTTATAAATTTCTTTTAGAGCAAATGCTTATTGAGAAATTGTTTCACTTAATTTTGTGACAGATGCAATGAATGGATAATAGGTATTTGCGGCACTGGTATAGAAATTTTTCACGTTACTATAAAGCCTGATGAACAGTGAAAAATTCTTGATTCCATGTTTTAATCCGAAGTTTATTCATAAACTCATCGGCGTTAAAATACATCAATAAACGGTCGATCAATTAGCGGAATAATTGATATTCCATCTCCCTTATTATTTTATACAGATATGCACATCACTATTAGCCGTATAGCTAGGGATTAAGATAGCGCAATCTATATAACACGTCCTATATTCATCAAGAAAAAACCTCAATCAAACAAAGGAACGATGAATTGGAAGTATTTCGGATTAAATTTCTATTATATAACTAATCATTCAACTTATATATATACGTAGCCTTTATTACCGACGACAGTTAAACGCAACTCGATACTAGATCGCTACCTCACATAGCAGATGTAATTATACAGCATTACCCATATTACGGTATCCATTGCGAAAATCCTGCATATTAATCAATTGCTAATACTACAGTATGTTGTGAATACGCGTATCAAGAATTTCGATCGATATTAATATGACTATACCATACTATATAAATTAGGTCTTAGGATCTTTACGTTAAAATAAATTTCAATTCCTCATGCTGCGTCTTTTCACTATGTTTTCCAAGATATACTTGGCAGAACATTCAGGGAAATTAGCCATGTCGTAATAATTCGGAGATGCTGTTACGAGCCTGTTAAGAATATAAAATCAACAAGCCTATAACAATCAAATGTATCATCATAACTGCACGTCATGTATACTGACCAATCTGGTTTCACTTCAGTGACCGTCCGGATATAATTTTTGGTGGTTAAAACAAATTCGTTATATATGACCCATTCTGGCTTATGAGACAAACATGTTGACGGATGTAAATGGACGACTTGATTGTCTTTAACTGTTAAATAATGACCTGCCCTTTCTAAATGTGCAGCCTAAATAGAATTAAGGTTTCATTGAAGTATCCAGTAAAGTATAAAGATACTTCACTTTAAAGTTACAGAGATCTACAGTAAATCCATACCTGCATAAAAAATCCTGCAACTAGAGCTTTCCGAATATTGAGGTAATAGTCTCTGCTATTAAAATCTGTGCTCTTTCTTGGTAAACTATGCTTGTCCATAATACCCGCTAATTGCTGACGTACATTGTCGGCCGATTTTAAGGACCTGCTTTGTAAAAAATTGTCGTAACACCATTGGGAATCTTCCTTATCTACTCAATACAAGAGCGTTACGAATACATGAGCAGCTTTTCAGAAAAAATCCACTGTTATATTGATAAAGTGTTAGCAAGTTGAGAAAATTCTTACTTTGCTTATATGCATGATATACATTTAAGAGAGTTAAATGATCACCATCAATATGACCAAATTTCGCTTTCGCTTCGTCTGCCGCTTTTTTTGCATCATTAGGTCGTAAAAATACTTGCGGAATAGAAAGCATAGATGTAATAGACAAGATTTCATTCGAACAATTATAACCGGTACTTGCGATAAGCATTTTAGCAAGCTGAGGATCTAAGGGAAATTCAGCCATTAGCGATCCAAGATCAGTTAAATCACCGTCATCGTTGAGAGCACCAAGGTAATTTAATAATTCTAATGCCCGCATTAGGGTTTCGGGAGCTATTTAGTGACAATTTATTGACATTTAAATTCCTTAAGATTCACCATCGTTGTTTAGAGGCTAACATATTGACTGATTAATTAATTTAGTTATACAAGTAAAATATCTAACCTGGTGGATCCATAAAATCGAAATGTACTAGATCGTCGATACCTAGTTTTTTTAAATGTAACACTACAGTTCCCAAGTTAGAGCGTAAAATTTCAGGATAAGTATTCTCTTGCATTTCTGTCTGGAAAGCCTTTTCGGTATACAATCGAAAACACTTCCCAGGCCGTGTACGACCTGCTCGGCCAGCTCTTTGCTGAGAGCTAGCTTTAGAAATAGGCGTAACCAACAGTGACTCCACTCTTATTCGAGGATTATAAACCTATTTTAAATAATTTATTTTATAATAATAATTACGTAAGCTCGATAAAACTCGAGAGAAGAACTTAGATGGTTGTAACTACTTTTTGTTTCGCAAAACCAGGATCTACGACAAACACCACTCCATCAATGGTTAACGACGTTTCCGCAATATTAGTTGAAATCACAATCTTGCGACCGATCCGTTCATTTCGAGATGGTGGTGCTGATTCAAAAATTCTCTGCTGCGCTGACGGCGGCAGAGTTGAATATAATGGAATGACTTTAACATCTCCAGCTTCATTTCCCAAATTTTGAACTTCCTGACGAATGCGTCGACAAGCATCTTCAATTTCCTTCCGTGAGCATGTTCAAAATGATATATAAGCAAATCATCAATGAAATAGTCAGGATTACAATATCTAGATGTTTGCATTAACAAATTAGAGACCTCCTGTCCAGTGAGAAAAAGTAGAATATCTCCCTCAACATCTTCGCAGCTATGAATTTGTATCACTGTACGGATTGCTGCTTCAAGGTAATCTCTTTCAGGTTCAGGGGTATAGAATATTTCAACTGGGTGTGTCCTACCAGGAATAGTCTTCATTGTAAGATGCAATCCAAACAAGATGTACACAGCATTAGTTACACAATTACAGGTATCACAACAAGAGACTCCGAAAGAGTGGTCATTACTGCGAGAAAATAGCAACGGTATCAAAATAGCTACCCTTACAAATTTCTATGCCGTAATAAGAGAAATACTACATACGATAAATTCTTACCAAAAGTGGTGCACCTTCAAAATAGTCCTGAAATTTTCCAGCGTCCAAGGTTGCGCTCATGATGACAATTTTTAAGTCTGATCTATTACTAACGATCTGAAATAGTAGTATCCGGATAAAATCTGAAGTTATTACGTTATTCTCGAAGCTAACTCGGTTGACACTACATTCATGCTATAACAATTCCTTCCTAGATAATTAATTTTTTCGCAAATATACGGCTAGTATAATATCTTCATAGAATAAGTGACAGGAAGCAGCGATGTGAAAAGTATTTGTGTAAATAAGCTGATCTAAAGCATCATTAACGTCCTTACCTACGGCTCTAGGGCATTAACGACTTTTAATATGTTTTATATATATAAAAGCATAGTCATAAATACAGAAATAATCTTTTAAGCTACATAATGAAGGTATAACCACCTCTTTCAGCAACCCCATCAAAATATCCGTAGCCAAAGTACGTTCGTGGGCTTCATCGAGTAAGATCACACTGTACCTTTCTAGTAGTGGATCGTTCATGGCCTCTCTCAATAGCATTCCATCTGTCATATATCTGTCAATAAAAAATGTTATAATGCTCATTTTCAATGAGAAATTGAAATAGGGTGATTCGGAGATAACTAACAGCGTTAGGATATTAATTTAAAAAATGTTAATGGCATTATATACTGCATGTGCTATCACAATCTTCGCATTGTTTTCTTACTTGAGGAGAGTGTTTGGACTTGTACAGTCTTCAAATCGAATGCTATAACCAACTTGTTGTCCAAGCGTAACGTCCATTTCCTCTGAGACACGCTGAGCAACACTCATCGCCGCAACACGTCGCGGTTGCGTGCACGCAACGCCTCGACGACCGCTTACTAACTCCACACACCATTGAGGAATCTACAGCACATGAAAATATAACAAGTATCCATGACAAAACATTACCATAATTGCTACATAATAAGAAGACGTCAAAAATACTCTAACAAGTGCAGAATATACCCAGTAATATACTTTTTATCTCAAGAAAGGTAGAACTATGTAATGTAGTAAGATATGTGATTAATTTGAGATAAGATAATGGGTTATATCACTGCTAATATCATGCTACTTACGTATGATCCACCCCATACATCCCTCTGTTTAAACTGTAATAGAGTACTAAATCATAATTTTCGAAGTTTACTGCATTACAGGAATATTTCAATCTATTCAATTCACTTAAATTTGTGCGAGTATAGCGTAATCTTCGAAGACTTGAGTTAAATTAAAAATAATACAGCATCGCGATATCTCCGTAACGTCATGTATTTACACAGAAATTTTAACTTTAGACCTTAGCTTTAAGTTGATACTATACCAAGTTGATGCGACCATTGTTATTAAAGTTAAAGTTATCAAATTCAGGGACTTTCCCCGAAAAATAGACAAAAGCCAAAACGGGGTCTACAGTACCGTACTGTATACTGTATACTTGTACAGTAGTTATAGTAAAGTAAACGACATTGCCGTACTGCACAGTGTACAGTATAGTCATGCGTATAGTAGTACTGTACTGCAAACTGTTTACCAGGCGAAAAGGCGCGCACCTGTGTCGTTTTGCCACTGCCAGTTTCACCAACCAGTACAGTCGCTTGGTTTTTTCGCAAGGTGGATAAGATTTTTTCTTTATATTCCCATACCGGCAATTTTGTTCTCTTCTTCAAGATATCGTAATATCTATCACTGTACGCCTGTTTATTATACGGATTAATGTTCGATCTATTTTCGCTATCCGGAGAATGAAATAAATAACAGTGTGACAATATCGTCGTTGTATTGTAACTACTTAGTTAAGTACTCGCACATTATGTACACTACTAAAAATGATAGTAAACCAATAATTTGCGACGGAGTTAATTTCTGTAACTATCAACTGACATACTGTACACTGTACAGTACACTAGAATTAATCGGATTCAGTCCATTTTGATTATGCTCTGCTGCACTGTATAGAGTATATTGTTGCTCATTATGGTCTAAAAAATTTCAGCTCTTTTTTAACATACATAACACTATAGCAGTATACATTGAATTATAGATTGAAGTTAAAAATAAACCATCTCTACCTTCCATACCTCCTAGCACCGTCCGTAACATTTCGTGATTGCCCATTAGATCTTAAAAGTTATTGTCAATATTTTAACAATTGGAAAAGTTTAGCCTGATTTTTTTCATCACGTGCAAAGAACTTTTTCTTTCATATTTAATCCATTGCAAAGATTATATCGTATGTCATGCATAGTATCTAACGCTAAGGTAATAAAAGAAGCTTTGTCTCATACCCAACGTCCAATCTTTTTTTTTTGGAATCAACCCGAGAAGACGGTTCCACATCAATTCGCCGTTTTTGATTTTCAGACATGGCTATTCCACTTATAGCTCAGGGAGCAATCACTATCGGTATCTGATGGGTATAATTTACGTTATAGTTACGGTTCACTGTACTGTACAGTACAGTACAATACCGTCTTACTTTACTGTACTGTACACTGTACAGTACGTACTGTACTGTATGTAAAAAAAGGTGTCCAATGTTATTTGTTCACAATACTGTGCACTACAGTACTGTACTGTACATTACTGTGAGCAGAAGGCTTTTCGCTGCAGCTTACAGTACGGTACAGTACAGTATATAACATTAAACATTATTATCAACAACGCTGAGTACTGTACTGTACAGTACAGTATTTCCACATTGCCTGTACTGTACAGTACAGTACTGGCTGCACTCGATACAGTAGTCTGTACTGTAATTATACTGTACAGTACAGTACTGTACTGTACTGTACAAACTGGAAAGAGAAGAGTGACAACGCTTTGTACAGTACTACAGTATGAGTACAGTACTCCTGTTCATGGTTGTACAGTATACAGTGCAGTACATGTACTGTACAGGTAAATTATTCGGTTTAGCGCTGCTCGCCATTTAGCAATACTGTACAGTACTGTATTCTCCGCATTGTCGATCTGCATGGACTCTTCCGTACTGTCGTGAAACTCCGCTAGCCAGTGTCCTTTATCGGGTTGAGTCCTGTCAGGAATTAAGGCATTATCATTGCATTTGTATGAATGCACATTAGGCTAACCAGGTGTTTGCTGGCTGGGTGGCCTAATTCACACAAGTGACAAGTGTGTACAGTCTGTACTGCAATTATACAGTAAGTTGCAAACTCTTCGAACTCTGCAAGGACCTCGGGCAGAAAGAAAGAATCCTTCAATAATTATAATTAATTAAAGTTGAAGAGAAAGTATAATTGTAAACTCGCAATGTCATCCAAGTTGCTTTCCAGGGCAGCATTTCTCCGTGGTCAAGTGCGTGCACGTACGACTGTTTCACTATTTATTTATTTCAATGATCTTTAACTATAATAACCGACTTTCATTGCCAAGAGCGATATTTGCAAGATTACTCGAGCGTGATACGAGTACAGCAATACGAGCTTACTCGTGCAGCATTTTAAAATAAATAAAATGAAATTAAAATTAATCATTAAACATCTATTGGATGCGTAAGCTCTCTTGTTTTGCAACACACTACAGTACGATTTTGTATAATTAACAGCGGTTTTTTTCCATTGTATACGGGTTACTTTATAGATTTTTCAAATATCTCGTATTCCGAAAGTCACTTCTCAATTATGTACAGATTACTTCCGAATTCGTTTAACTTTGAGGAAGGTACAATTCCAATGTTCTACCTATACAACATTTTGTGCTAGTTATGACGTACAGTATCAGCTTTTTCTTACAGAATTTTTCTAACCAAAATCAAAAAGAAACTGATCAGTATTTGAATGCTTGCTCTTATAGGGATTTTGTAACAAAATTGGTAAGACACGAGATCTCGGGGCATCGGATAAAATCATTGGGTACTGGTTGTTAGGATGTTCCGGATTAGTTTTTGGAGCCGTTATTCTTGGTGGAATAACCCGTTTGACAGAATCTGGATTGTCTATGGTTAGATGGCATATTATCAAAGGTATGAAACCCCCAAGTTGTCATGAGGAATGGTTAAAGGAGTTTGAGACTTACAAGTTGTATCCGGAATACAAATTGTAAGTATGTTACTAGATCTTCAGATATGTAATTCAAACTTTTACAGTAATATTTATGTTTTAAATTAACTGTAAATTCGCTATTGATCCAATAGATATCAGGGTTGGTGTACTAAATCTTTTTAAAGAATAATTTGTTTATGATTATAGCTCGATCATATGAGCGTACCTTTATAATATAATAATAAAGCAGAAAAGGAAATGTTAATCTTCTGTTCACTAAAGTAGTATGCAATAACTTTTCTTATTAAATTAGTGGAATACTACAGTAGGCACGATAGTATCTCATTCGCGAAGCTTCGATTTGGCTTAGTATGCTTTACAGTTCTATAAACATGGTCATCTGTTTCTGTACTATACGGTAGCTGATGCTTGTAAATAAATATAAATTAAATATAATGGTGAATGGACAGTAACAAGGAATTTCGTACTCATGGTAACAGTGATAACATGCCAATAAGCTTTTTGGGTTGATAAAAAAGTGTCATATCATTTCGTTTGATTTAAATGGGATTTAAGCTTACTGTAATTCACTTTATAACTATGATAAAGTATTGCATTTACAGTTAGATTTGTGATGTAAAATTTTTTGGTATTTATTTCTTACAGCTCGAAACATAATATTACGCTGGAAGAATTCAAACGAATCTTTTACATGGAATATTTGCATAGAATGTGGGGTCGCTTAATTGGAGTTGCTTTCGCGGTACCAGCGGTATATTTCTTAAGTAGAGGACGAATCTCGAAGGCTATGAAACCTAGACTCGCTATATATTTTTCTTTGCTAGTTTTTCAGGTATTAACGTATAAATTTTATTCTCGTCCTAAACGCTACATGAACTGCAAATTGTTCATAATGTGGTTAATGAGCATTTCTAATGCTGCTACCTCAGGGTTTACTTGGATGGCATATGGTCAAAAGTGGTTTAGTGGAGGATAATCGGACACGTAGTATACCTCGTGTGAGTCAGTATAGACTTATGGCTCATCTAGGGTCAGCTTTTCTGTTGTATGCCGGCTTATTTTGGAGTGGACTATCGTATCTTATCAAGCCTAAACAAGTATGGTTTGTTCGCTTTTGATCCTGAAATCTATATATTGATACGAACATTTGCATTTATTGAAATCTAGCTATCAGAGAGCCCAAAATTAAAAGCGCTGCGAATTCTAAGCCATGGAAATTTAGGAATAATTTTTACCACAGTTTTAGCCGGTTAGAATTTACAATTTGTTTAGAGTTTCAGGGTTCTATATATGGATCTCTCTAGATAATAATTAAACTTTCACAGTTGTTTGATACCTGCGGTAAACTTAATGCATTCTACATCACTACAATCCTTGTTGAGAGTAGGTGCAATTGTGGCTGGTTTGGATGCCGGCTTGGTGTATAACTCATTTCCAAAAATGGCTGGTAAGTGGATACCCGAAGACATTATGGCCATCTCGCCAAAATGGAGAAATTTTACGGAAAACTCAACAACTGCTCAATTCACCCATCGTGTTCTAGTTAGTTCTTAACGTCTTAATGTCCTATTATAAATAATTGGTCATAGTAAATGCTTCAATGAGCAAGAATATAACAGTGCATATTAGATTGATACTGGCTATGTACGTATGTATTTACTGATCTAATATACACGAAATTTTGATTTAGGGTCTAACAACTCTTACAAGTATTTTTGGTTTATGGTGCTTTGCCAGGCCATTGACGTTACCGAGGCGAGCTCGTCTAGCGACGAACTGCTTATTAGCTATGTCTGGAGTGCAGGTAAATACTACATAAATCATTTCAAATAATTATAACTATACTTACCGAATTTAATCATTTTTTAATTATAATAAACTCAAAGGTTTCACTGGGAATTACTACGCTGCTGTACTATGTACCAACCCCGTTAGCAGCTTCCCATCAAGCTGGCTCATTGCTTTTATTTACGAATGCGTTATGGCTTGCGTACGAACTGAGAAAGATGAAATTTTAAATCTCTTTCTATATAAATCATGCAGCTTCTACCGAAGATGGATGTTAATTGTAGCGGAAATCTAAGTAGTCTGCGTGCAAGCTTAGATTCATACAATAAACTGAATCATCTTTTCGTCTGATAGGTCGGTGAAAAGTAGCCGAAAAGATAAATTTATTTATTGTCTTAAAAAATCTGATGGGTTGTGTAATAGAACAGATACACATTAGAGAAGTTTAATGGTTATCACTCTCATGAGAACCTTTTTAGGCTATCTACAAGAAATAGCTGGGATGGGTAAATTATAAAAGAGTCAAGGAGTTATCATACAGTGAATTAATTCGCACTTTTAAAATATCGAAATCGTAATTAGATGAATGTAAAACTTTATTATAGATCACTGATAGATTATAGTTATAAATATTAAAACTTTTGAATACAATTTAAAGATTTTTAAATTCGGATATACATCTGAAACGTAGGAGAGATGTATAAAAATTTACCATAAATCTTCATAAAGAGTGGTACGGTATTATTTGCACGCGTCTATATGACATAACCAGATATACATCATGAATGATTAGAGCCTTGTAATCAATGCAACAAGCTTGTAACTTATTTTTACATTGTTATAGTAAAAATACTCGTTTTAATTCGCTAAACGGGTAACTAGTATTAGTTCGTGGACAGATTACTGTTCCATGGTTAGAATCGGCTAATTTCAGTAGAGCCTGTATAAACATACGAAGTCAAAAAGCTCACGACAAATCACAAGAAATTCTAATCTTTGGCATAAATAAAACCATCAAGGAAATTCAATTATTTTTCGTTATGTCGCACCTTCTCGCTGTAAACCATTCCATTTGGCAACATCATTGGAGGATTGTTACCATTCATTTCTTCGCCACTTATTCTGCATACCAAGCGTGAGTGAGAACAGTGCGAAAATGGCAGAGTTCGAGCTATTTCATTGAAGTTACTGCTACATATTGGACATTGCAAACTCTTCTTGTTTTCGTCGTAGCAGTCACTGTGCATCCGTAGTTAAGGAACTAAAATCTTGCAGTAGCAATCTTTACTGTTATAAAATATATCTTATGCAGTAACTTCAGTACAATTTACAGCTTTTTAACTTAAGTAAATACAGTACAACAATATAGCTAAAACTGCGTAATGTTGACATATGATACGGAGTTTTTAAAGACGCCAGACCAACTTGAAGGATAACAGAGAACATTGATCGTTCTTTAAGTTGATACAAGGAAAAAATATCATCCCGAAACTGTCGCAGTAACATTTTCCATCGCTGTGGATCATACATATCCTAAAGAACAATATCATTATTTTACAACAAACACAGCACTGAGTTGCTTCATGGTACCGTAATGTACATATTTCTTTACAAAATTTTGCTGACGAAAAGAATCATACCAGGACTACTGAAGATAAAGAGTCGTTTTCTGTCTCCCTTTTGCTTCAGTAGTCCCTGCCGTATGCAGCGTGATACGGGTGCAGTTATAGTGTTTAAATATAGGCCTATGACATAAAGTATACTAAACTATCAGCTGTATGTACACATGTGTTTCCAGATACCAATTTACTGTTACGTACAAATCAGAGTCGACTATGGGTACAATTGTACTTCGTGCAGTCATTAGGAAATGATAGTAAGGTTAAGGGCAGAAAAGATACATAGACAATAGATTATTACAGTATAACTGTAGCTTGCAAGTGAAAGCGAAGGAAATAGTAAACATTTTCTAAAAGAAAGTGCGATGAAGTGCATGATGGTATTGATATCAAGACAGTATACACGATCATAAACGTACTTGGTACGGTTGACAATTGGTATCTATCTGAAAAGCCAATAACCCCATTGCACGCTTCATTAAGTCACAGCTGCTTGAATCTATATTAGAAAAGTGTCGCCTTGCGTACCTGCATATTGATCAATAATTCATACTTTTAATTGCAGATTACACTATATGTGGTCAAACATGAAGATAGTATTGTAATATACGCTATACTCATTGCTTACTTTACTGCATCTAATCGCTTTCCTTCCCGGATGAGTTCGATAAATTCTTGCATTCGTAAATTAAACTCTAACGTGCTCTAAACGTGATGTAATTCCGTTTTGTAATCATTATAAAAACAAACCCGTATAAATAGGTATAAAGTGAAATCGTGGTACCAATAAATGAACGATACTAGCCTAGCATACTTATATTCAATTCTACGTACAGTACCTTAATTTTTTTTAATCTGGACCTATTATCAATACACCAGTTTAAGCATAAAGTGATATTATTAGCTTGCAAGGAAGCTTCAATTTTTCGCGCAACGGTGAAGATTTCGATGTTGCACAGCCCCTAAAATTAGTAATGTTAAAATAAAAATCTTTAGGATAAAGCTACGAAAATTAACTACTTAATTAGTAAACACTGGCAAGCATCTTACTACGATGTCAATTACAGCTAGGCGCAATAATTACTTAATAGTTCGTTAACTGAACAGCACATTGCTGTATATTGCATCAAACCTCAATATCAGATTCTTCCATGAGATCAATTGCAGCCTTGTAATATCCTTGTCGTAATAGATGATCAACTATAAAACGATTGCAGCGTTTCCTCTGCCACATAGTAACTGTAAAATCATTTTCAGGCAAATCTTTCCTGACTTGATCCATTCTATCTTGCAAATGGCTAATTCTTAATTTACAGTTCTTAATACATCCTTGCTCTTGCTGGTAACAATCATCAGCCTTTAGGAATAAAGGATTATTAGTTGTTGAACAGTGAGATCTTTAGCGATATGAATACTGTCTAAATATAACAAAATTTAGCTCCTTCTCTTAAACATTTTAATTAACCTTTCTTTTCAAAGCAGTTAGTTTCTGAACAACACCTCCTAGAAAATCGGCGACTGAATCGATAGACTGGTTCTGTGAATCTGAAGAGCAATGTAGTATATCATTACTTCCTCCTAACACATTAGCAACTTCTCTATCGATTGCCTTTTGAGCAGTTCTGAATTTCTTGTTGAGGATCTCGTACGGTACCTAAGTAACGGTAGTTTATTTACAGTTAATAAGTTAAAAGTAATACCAGTATAGCTTATAGCTAGCTATCGGATACTGACAATAACAGTACTTCCGATCCTAGAGAAATCATCTACGATCTGTAGTGTACATTCGTAACGTTAACGACTACCATATCTTTGGCCGTAAGGTGATATACAGCTTATTAAGTGTAAATAATGGCATGAGTATAATAATTTTTACACTTTTTTTACTGTGATTTTAAACAGGATTCTTTCATCACACTGGCACAGTATTTGGATCATATGCAAGTATTTATTTTATATGTAGTGCTGGTATAAAATTACGAACTGCATTGTCTACAAAATAACCAGAACCAGCGAAAGACGCCAAAAACTCTGTATTAACCTACGTGTAATTGTTATTACAGGTAATTGAAATTTTTGGCAGTAAGCGGAACAAATGTCGGACGATTTGGTACAGTGTTAATTTTCATATTTAGTATAATAATATAGCAAGTAAAGAAAGTACTGCGAACAAAACATTCAACCATTCTACCATCAAAAGCAATTGTCGTCCATCTGCACTCACTTTACTGCACTAAATAGCAAAGGAGTAACTGGTTTATAAAATTTCTCGTACAGCAGATTAATTATATAGTTATCCGTTCATTGCAGTTCCTACTTTTAATGTTGAATGTTCCAGGGCTCGGATGTCAGGATATTCCCTCCTTGCAGCTTCTTTATCAACCATCTCTTTTCAAGATTCCTTACTGGCAGTCTCTTAAGATTCCTATTTGCTAAAATGCCTGAAGTACAATCACTGTCAGAATCTTAGAAAAGGTGCATCACGAAATGACGCTAGTGTTATTCTTACACTGTACTGTACGTACGTACTGTACTATCGTACAGTATTAGTACAGCGTAACTCCATTTTATTGATAAACAAATCCAATACAGTATACAGTACAGGGTACAGTACACAGTACTGTACTGTACAGTGTACATGCTACTGTAGCCAGCCAACTTGGTGGCTACTTTTGATAGCTTGTCAGCAGTCAGCACTACTACAGTAAGTACTACAATTACCGACGTGCACTCGAACAAAGAGTGGTGTCAATGTAGTTAAAATGGCTAGCAAAAAGTCGACCTATTTTTCTATACGATATTGATGCGGTCTTGAAGCATGGAATACTAGAAGAAGAAGGCAGGGTCTCCTTCGTTTTCTTCTAGTAGTCCATGGTCTTTTTCAAAATGTGCCATGTACATTGTACGGTATACCAGGCCAGGGTAACAGAAAGAAAGAGGGATTGTTAACGATTTTCATTGAAAAATGTGATCGCTGACTGTTTTGCTAGTCATTTCGCTATATCGGAAGACTGGAACCGTATACTATGCGTAACCAACATGGTAGCTACTTCGGACTTCGGAGCATAGCCGTAAACAGTACTGTACTGTACTGTACTGTATACGTACAATCGTCGTACAAGTTAGACGGTAAGCCTCTTTGATGAAAGTAATAGTAATTTAGTGTACTGTACTGTACAGTTCGAAACTGACGCACGGGATATACGATTGTACTGTATACTGGAGTTTCTAACCTTAAAATAGCTGAAAAGCTGACATTTGCATATATTAGAAAAATTAAAATTTTAATTTAATAATGTAATATTTTTGATTGAAATCCAAGTTGTGTACTTTTTAAGGTATCATTGACTGATCGTTAAGCGAAAAAATAATCCAGATTTGATATCGACAATGCAGTTTAAATCGATATCAAAGAGGTGCGATTAGCAGAATTTCCTCGCAAAATGGCACAAAACGATGCTAAATCGCTCAAATCGCACTCCTTCGAGATAGATTGAAACTATACCCTCGGTATTAAATGTGGATTTTTTACATTTAGCAATCAGTCAATGACTATCTTAAAGTACACAACTTAGATTTCAATCAAAGCATTGCGATATTAAATTATTCTAATTTATGTAAATGTCAGTTTTTCAGCTGTTTTAAGGTTAGAAACTTCCTAGCCAATCGTACAGTATACCACGTGCAGTACGTCCATTTCGAACCGTACACTTAACTGATGTACACCGTGTCATCTACAATAGTATGCACTTATGCAAATGAGCTTTGACATCACTATGAAAATGAAAATATAAGACCCCTATTTTAGCCTTCAACTTAATTAGATCTTTTAATTTTTCAAAGCATTTACATTAAATTTGGCTCAAATTCCACATAAACTTTATTTCATTTCTTTGAAATTCTAATATAAGCCAATAGTCACTGGTACATGGTCGGTCGGTTCTACCAGCATACAACTCACGCCTTATAACAGTGGTCTTATATAAATAAATTAATTAATTGCTGTCGCGGTCCGTAAGTAATACTACAGTAAATCCCATTAAAAGGCCTGTTGCTGAGCTCTACTTGGAAGCGGCAGCTTTAGATCATAAACGTTATTCAAATTAATTAATTCGAGTGATTTAGAAAACGGACACGAAAGATCCACACTGAGGAGAGTGTCCAGTGTACACTGTCCAGTCCAGGTATATTCCTAGTGGGTCAGGGTACATTGTCGTATTCATATGCATGCACAGTGCGAAGTGACAGTGATAATTATAATGTCAAGTAAAAAAGTACATGCATTTGGACATTTTCGTGATATTATCATGCGTTTCAGTAAAAACTAATTTGACATAAAAATTTGTTCGAGCTTCATAATTTTCGAAAAAGAAATGTTGGAAAATGTCTAGAGAACGGTTTCAGGCGTACAGTAGCTTGGATTTATTCATTTATGTCACGTTTTAGATTTCAGCAAACAACGCTGTTATAACTGCAGCATTAACGAGATACGTGTATAGTGAGAATATAATATAAAAATTTTATTAACTCGAAATGCACAGCTAGCTCCGGGCGATGAGTGTAGATAAATTAGGTATGCACTCATAATGCATATAAAATTTGTATTATTATTTGTATAATATTATTGTTATATTATTGTCTACTATGCATTTTCCTTTCATATTGCTGCGGAATCTTTACACCTAACAAGGTAATGTGTAACACTATGAATACGTATGTAGTATCGTACTATATATTGTAAAAACTTAAAGTCCTAAGGGTAGGTTTAGTATACTGTAACAATTTAGTAAGTAGGTACAGTACATTAGTATATGCTAGCGTCACATTTTCATTAATCCCTCTGCCACAGCCAAATTTATAAGAAATTTTTCCTTGGACGCGGTTAGATTTCTAGATGTAATGCAATCTGGAGATAACATTCCATTTTGGTCGGAAGCCAGTGATTTTAAATTACTAATTAAATCCCCTATCGTTGATGACAGTTCCTTTGAAAAATAATTGCAATAATTCGTTCAATTAAGATTTTACGCTCACTCATGTAAACATATCAAAAGAAAATTCTCCTCGCATTTTGCAATTTCATGTATTCGATTAAATTAGGAAAATCAATGATTTTGTATAGCATGTGGTACCTGAACTATGTCTTGATTTGAACACTCGTCATTTTGGGCAAGGGACACCAATTGCGAAGCGATATCTTTGTGAATCTTACTGAGCACAAAATTTTCTAAGGTATGATGCAAATAATATAGTGGTATCAATCGTTTAGTAACTCACTTTACACAGCACCATACTGGACTGCAACTCTGTAGCATACCAAATATAGAATTACGTTATGCGAAAACTTTGTAATAAATGTTCAAAAGCATTCAAAAATTTATGATGAACCTTAATGTAAGCAAAAATTTCCATAAAACTTTACTATCAACGCTTAACTGCAAGATCTCAATGCAATCACGTTTACCTTTTGCATGTGAGGCTACATAAATTTCACGACGTGGCACTAAACATATAATTAGTAATATTGTTATAATAAATTTATAGTATAAAACAAGCTGACTAATAACTGAGCTATCTGGAAAGATAGCTTACTATTAACTAGTACATCGAAAAGATACTCCTTATCTTCGATGCTGGGATCTGTTACTCCAGCGACGTAGTGTTGCAAGCTCTTTAGGTTAAAAACTTCATTAGTTTTACTTAAGTCTATAAACGGATGTACAATATCCCAATTTTGTCGATGCCATGATAGCAAAGGCATAGTTCTAAATGTTAATAAGAGGTTACTGTTAACAACTCATTCGAATTTCTTAATATTCTTTTACTGATATGGCAGATCAGAAAATAGTTTTAACCTGGTACTATCCAGAAGAAATCTAAGGTTTGAATCAAAAATAACAATTCGTTTCTTTAATAGCAATGCGACACAGATAAGAATTATTTCCAACCCGAATTCCAGAATCAGTCCTAAGTTTATCGTTAAATGAAATGGAACATTAACAAAATTAGGCTTTCTATGATTAGACAATTATAATTACATCAGTTTCGGTCGAAGGAAAAACAGCCAGCAATAAAGTAAAGCAACAAGCGTCAGGTGAAAGCTTTTCACACTTGTTTCAATCGGTAAAAATCTTCCGTATCATCAATATACGTACTTTAAGAAATTTTAACATCTGTATGCTTAGTTAATAACAAACTGGAGATGTACTACAAATGTCTACAATTAGCATTACTGCATGTACGTAGAGCATACGTCATTTTACGGTTCCTAGGGAACATTCGTTAGTCAGTGTACTTTAATACAGCATTTGTCTAATTTTAAAATGAAATGCATAACCCAGTAGCGATTTTCTAGAAAATATGATGTTACCTAGGAAGTTTAGATACCTGTCTTTGCAGGCATCAAGGAATAAGAGCTACTTTTTGCTAGAGAGATTATACTGAAGATCTGCTAAATTTAGGAGCGCCTAGCACCCAAATGCTACTTTTAGTTTAAAGTGTTTGGGTAAGTTGTTAAGTTAAAAGAAATCAATATTACCTAATGTTAGGCTATCAAGACACCAGTAACGGAAATGTTTTACGATATTTCGAAAAATCTAGAAAAGTATCCACTTCAGCAGCTTACTCTGTAGAGTATTTGGAAATTAGTGGAAACTGTTCATTGTACAATTTTTAGAGTGTAAGTGTGTAAGCATATCATACAATGGTTGAATATTACTGTACTGTATATCAGTCTCTTAGTACCGTATATTGTAGAATCTAGATAAAATTTCAAGACAGTAATCTGAGGAGAAATATAGGATTTAGCATTAAAGTTGCGCAGTAAGCCTATCTAGTACTGTAATTCTGCATTTGATGGTATAGTTCACTATGGTGACAGACCGCTAGAAAAATCATATAGTTCTTCTCCGGTCGAATCATACAAGTCATAAAGCCTCTTAGACTCTTAACTGACAGTTGGGATTTAAGAATCGACAACATTCATAGATATACAGTATATAATATGCTATCGACACCGCATCCTATAACTTTCGCATGTTGTCCAGGCTGTCAAATGCCGAAACAAAAGGTTGATTATTGTACGAATCTTTAGAAGTCCTCGTTCACCTTACACTCAGTAAAGTATTATAACAAGTAGTTAGCGGGTATCTAATGCTTAACAACAGCCATAAGACAATAAATACTGAATATATACTGTACTGTAGCTTCACCGCATAGCATGGAATAGTTGATGACTGCATAACAAAATAAGATCGCGGATAATTTCTTTTACTGGATATCTAACGATAAGTACCGTTACCGTAGCTTTCATAATTATAATAATATCGTTACCTCGCATGCATGCGGACGTTGCATAAAACGCAGACACAGTGGTAAACTTATCAAAATTAAAAGTACCAAATTGCTCGTGATTCCAGAAGCCATGTACATTGACTGATATAAAAGCTGTAGCCATTAGCGATGGATTTCCACAAATGTTATATATATCCCCAAGAAATTTGCAGAATTCTTGATACTTTTCTGGGTGAAAGTCCTAAACTTGATGAAAAGCACCATGCGGCTTAGGAAACAAATGTGACTACTTGTGCTTTTAATACATTAAAGTGTAATACTATTTAAAATTTAGACAGCAAGCATATGCAGTGAGCAATAATTACAACTTGTCTATAATGCCCCATCAATATTTGAATCAAAGTTCCGAAAGAACATTAAAACAAATACGAGTATGTAAGTCATACCACAGAAGCTAGCAATTCTCGTTGCATGCGAATGTAGAAAGCCATACGTTTAGTTAATTAATTTTACAGCGAACTACGAAAAATTGCACTACAAACCTTGCATCTAAGTATCACACAAAATTGTTTCACCTATAAAGAGTACAAAAATAGGAGAAATTTGTTTAGTAACTGTACTGTACTGTATACTCCCTGCTGTAACGTATCCATTTCACTATCTGCATTTAATAATTACCGTGTGTACAGTTACAAGGACTGCATTTGCTAGATTGTTAGGGTACTGTACACTGTACAGTATACAGTACAGTACGTACAGTAATAGTAGAAAGGTTGCATAGTTCTATCATTATACTGTACTGTCTAGAATCAAAGAAACGCAAACAGTAACCTGAGAAAGTTGTTCTTTCGCGAATGGCATTGCTTGAATGTAATACCAGTCATGCAAATGTCTACCGAATATAAAGTCAATTGTATTTTTTCGGGAAGCATTCATTAATTTTGATCTCGACAAGATTAAGTCAGAGAATGATTGATTACTTGCGGGAAAAGACCAAGTTATTAATGAATCTCCATTAACATCGGATTCTGCGATATTGTGGTAGCAGAAATGCAGAGATGTTAAAGGTTTCCCTGAGCATACACGCGTAAATTCATTAATTAACATCAGTACCTATAATATGTAAGCTATGCAATTTCAAACTTCTACTCATCTCGTAGTAAAAATTAAAAGTTCTCGCCTTCCTTTCACTTCTTTACAGGACTTTAATCTAAATTAATAATTTTTAATCTTAAACTCTGCTATAAACGTTTCCACATTCACTGCTAAGAATCTCTAAGTTACTGTATCCCTAATGTTTACTGTACTGAGTAGTACCTGTAGCTACTGTAGTGTCATACTGTACTGTACTGTACTGTACAGTACAAGTACAGTACAGCTATCATGAACTCAAGTACTCAACGATGCTGTCTGGCAGCAACATAGCATAGCAGCATAGAACTTTAAACAGTTTTTAAACTTACTGTACTGTACATACCATACATTATAGTACTGTACATTTAAAACCGTACAGTACAGTAATGTACAATATACTGTACTGTACTGTACTGTACACTGTGCACAGTAGTACAGACCGGTATTACGTTGTAAAACGGTTATACACAGTACACGGTATAAAGTTACTGAACCTCTGACAGGTCTACGACAAATGGTAATACTATCTGTTAATTAAATGAGCACATTATCGTAAACCGTCAGCAAAGCGACGGGAGTTTGCACTAAAATTAATTATTCAATACTACAATACAGTACTGTATAGTGCACTTGTGCACTAAATGTGCAGTTTGCTGTACTGTAGCATTTACGGCTACACTCTCCAAAGTAGCTACCAATAATACCGTACACTGTACCGTACTGTACTGTACAGTACATATGTACAAAGTTGTCTACAAACTATTAATTGACGGTTACTCTGAGAGGTACTGTACTGTACTGTACTGTACCGTACTCTACAAATTTCACAAAAATTTCTTGAATATCCCTAAATTTGCAACTCACAAGTTTGCAAACGTCTTAAATACCATTTATTACTATGTCGGAAAAAAGTATCAAACTTGGTCAAAAGGTAGAAGTACCCGGTCGTGGATATATAGGCACTGTTGCGTATATTGGCTCTACCTCCTTTGCTCCGGGTAAATGGGTCGGGATAATTTTGGATGAGCCAAAAGGCAAAAATAATGGCACAGTACAGGGCAAGCGATATTTTACATGTGAAGATAATTTTGGCATGTTTGTAAGACCTACACAAATTAATATTCTTGAAGAAGTACCGTCGACCGACGTAACTTCAAGTTCCGAGAAATTATCGTATGTTAAATTAACGTAACTAAACATTGCTACTGGTGTTATCTATTTTAACAAATTCAAAATTTATCGATACAGGCTGCAGTGCACAGTGCAGTACAAGGCGCAGTCACTTAGTTAAGGCTAATTATAAGTACGCGTATTGCGTGATGAAAAATATTGATATGTTACTATGCTAATTTTTTCTATGAAAGTACGATTTTACGCACTGTTATAACGAAACTCGAAATAGTTACTTTGAGCTAATAAGATAACGTTTTGGATATTCTTGCCTTCAGCTCTGTCATTGTTAATGATCATTAGTCTAACTCAAAAGGGGTTAAGTTCATGGAAATTTGCTATTTAACCTGAGTTAGCAATTTATTTAGTGTATATCATATGGGTATGTCAGACGCCTTGAATGAATTAATCGAATAGGAAATCGTAGTTAATTATTACCGTGATCTCTATATTCAGTGTATATTCACATGATTGTTGGGATCAAAGGTCCGGTTTAACCATTTAAATTTTACATTCAAAAACATAACCACTACTTATGGTATGTAATATTTATGATGGCGTTATTGCGTCGTGCATATAGTGTTCCTGTTGAATCGAAGAGAAGAAACACTGGGCCATCTTCCCCGACGTCTCCGAGAACTCCTGCAGTGTCCGTTAGTGCAAGTACCAGTACTGAAAAGCTTAAGTGAGTAAGATTACTGAGTACTGGGTTATCGTTGACTTTAAAATTTTCTGTTTACTTATATGATCATTATTAATTAATTCAATAACATCGAATTTACTTAGCACTGCGGTAGATTTATAATAAGGTTACATGGGTAATTTCAGAAGTCTTTAAAGACATTTTTTCGATTCACTCTACTGTACTAATACAGTAGTATGATGTTATGATATTAATAATTTCATAGCGTTCCTACGGAATCAAAGCGTCGAAATACCGGATTCTTCTGCCATCGGACCTTCAAAAGATAAATCCACAGTACCTACTGGAGTTAAGACAGGAAAATCCGGGCCCCAAATATCGGTGATTGTAGCTAAAGATGCAAGCACTAATATTAGCAAACCGCTACCTTCTCCCAAAAATGCTACCAAAAATTCTTCTATTGTCAATCCTGTATCAAAGCAGCCGTCAATAACCTCTGATGGTCACTCCGTCAAGTGTAAGGTTTCATTCAAAGTTTGTAAAACGTATCTGTCTTATGTAATCCGTAGCTAAGATTTAATATCGTTGCTTCAAAATTATATGCTAGTGGAAACGTCTACATCCAACGATAATGCGGAGGAATTATTAATCCTGAAGCGAAAACGAGAAGAAGATGCGTTAAAGATGAAAGATTACGAGAAGCTAAAATTGCAGTTGCAACAGGTTGAATAATATCTAATGTCATCGTTTTTTTATGTTTATTGACGCTAAGGTCCAATTTTATGTAGTTAAATGAATTCAAAATAAAATGGCAGGAAGCACAATCGGATTTGCAGAAGAAGCTTAAAGAAGCAAAAAAGGTTCAATTTAAAATCCTGACGGCAAGTCCGTCATCATGAAAAGATTTTGATTCTGCATATGTATAATATAACGACAGCAATAATAATTTCATTAAACTTTAGGAAGCTAAGGAAGCTATTGAATTTAAGGAAAAGTTTGAAACGGAAATGCAAGAAAAAGAGGAATTGCTTCAGTTAGCTATGCTAGACAAGGAATTGGCCAATGAAAAGGTACAGCATACTTAGACTGGATCAGAGCAGGCACCTTGAAAGATATACTTCTAGAATATTATGCTATATTGCTTCACTGAGTAGCATTGACGAACATCACAACTCTTTGTAGGTGCTTGTATTACAGGATGAATGTGAGCAAAGCTTAGAAAATATTGAAGAACTAAAAAGTGAGATTGAACTACTGAAAGGTGAAGTTGAAGACCTAAAAGGTGAAGTTTTTGTCTTCTTTTAGTAACCCAGATTACAATCAATAAGGCGCTACCAATTACATGATACTTTAATGCTTTACTAATGAATCCGTAAAAATACTCATTGAACAGCTACCGGGAGTAATAATGATAGTGAAACAACTCATCAGGTCCAGTTACTACAGAAACAACAAAGACAGCTTAAGGATGCCTTAATTAAGTGCGCTTGATATCACAGATACAATATCGAAAGACAATATTCTATAGTTAATTAATTTAACCTCTATTGTGTTATTGTTCCAACTAGAATGCGAGAGTTATCTATGTCCGAAAGGCAGGATCACGCCCAAACTGCTGAAGAGTTGAAAAAAAAGTCATCTCAGCTGAAGTCTATAAATGCTGATGTAGCGAAACTTAGAACAGAACTGGCGGTAGGAGGCTACTATCTCTTTATATACGCGCATATTACTGTTCGAAACGTGTTAAATTGCAAAGTTAACGTTGCATACGTTTGTGTGTCTTAGAATGCGGAAGAAACTATTGAAATTTTAAAAGAACAAGTTGATGCCGCTGTTGGAGCACAAGACATGTTAGAAAAACTAACAGATAATAATTTAGAGCTTGATGAAAGAAACAGGGAGCTAAATGAACAAATCGATGAATTGGTAACAAGTGCTAACAAACGCTAAAGCCTATTGTTAATTGATTAATTAATTATATTACAATCGAAATTACTCTGATTTAATTTAATAATAGCAATTAAATAAAATATCTGTCACATCTTTTACCATTTTCATAGGAAGCACTGGTCGATATGAACGACGAATTAGAAGAGAACCATCAAGAACTAGAGAGGGACTTGAGAGACGAAATAGCTTCTTTAACGAATGAACTACTTGAGGTATAGATGTGTACTAAAAAATTGTGAGGATTTTATTTCGAATTTTGACTAGCTGATTTAATCTTTCAATATAAAATCGCAGCTGCCTCATATACAATTGAATAAAGCTCATACCTTTGCGGTACATTACTTTCGATCGTTTAATAATTAATCTATTTTCTCATCGAATTTCACGGTGTTAGAGAAACCAACGACTAGAGATAGCAATAAATACAACTGCAGATCAATCAAGTACCATCAATAAATTCCGTGACTTAGTACAACAACTACAGGTAATGCTTTTAAAGTCGCAAAGTTAATTAGAATGTAATGGAATGTTACTGTCAAAAAGTATAATTACTATCTACTTGATTATACAACTTTGCTAGGAAGAAAATGTGTCTTATCGAGAAAAGTTAGAGTCAAATATTGTATCAGAAAGCCCTAAAATAAATACTCAAGCCATTGACTACAAACTAAAAATGGCAACCACGAAAGCACACGGCAAAGTATGACCTACAAATTTAACATCATTAATAGTCAATTATCCTTAAACTACTTTATCTTTAACCGGTACTTCCTAGGCGATTGATATCGAACTATTAAAAGTAGAGATCTCAATGCTGAACTATTATAACGACTTACTACTGACGTTCTTACCAAAATCATTTGTTGACAACGGTGGTAAGATTCGATCACACCATTATTGAAATTTAATAACCAATGGAACTATTTTATGATATTTGTTTCACTTTTCGTTAGGCGAACGTGACTGTTTACTAGTTATGACTCTAATGAATCGAGTTTCACGCAAGTCCTCCATCATCTCAACACAAGTAAAAGAAAGGGTAAGCATTTTTTGACATTTGTGTTAATATACTTTTTATCTTGTTTCTATGCTTGACTTTAGCTATTAACTTTATTACAGTTTGCAATAGGTGACGCTCTAGATCTTACCAATGTGGATACTTCGCAATTAGAGAGAGTAGAATTTGGATGTAGAATAATTCAGGAATTTTCAAATCTAATTATCATAGTTAACAGAATCGAAAGGTTAGATACTTATTAACTAACTATGTTGGATATTTCATATTACAAATATCAGTTACACTGCATCATTGTATTTTTTGTGTTATCAGTAATTCTGAGTGTGTGCTAATTATCTAGTGCCATGTCGGTATGCAGTATGGAGATTTTTAGTAAATTAGGAAGTTTATATGCAGACACTCTTCCTCATGAAAAAGCTATTGATAATATTATAGAATTGCTACGAAAAGATCAGGTCTGAATGAGCATTAATAGAACAGCGCTATGTTTAAAAATGAAGCTGCTAAATAATTTGTATTTTATATGTGCATAGTTGGACGAAAACTGTTCATTGGATTCTCTGCAGAAATGTTTAGCATTTTTTAAGGTTTTTCAAGTAGAAATTAATATTCAAACTTTTACGTCATTAAACTGACAATCTCCATAAATTCGCTGCTTGTGTGATAGCACCTAGTTAACACGCACCTAACAAATGAACCTATCGACCATTGTATGTTCCTTTGTGATCATGCAAATTGTTTGGGTTGCTTAGCTGACTATTTGTCCGTGAATCTATCTGGGTTATTGATAATTGGGAAGGTAATAAAATAGCGGTACTTCTTAAAGCAGTACGTTTTTTTAATGTGGCCATTATAATTTCCATTTATAAATGATATGCATTGTTTCGAAAGCATGTAGATAATAGTCATGTTAAGCAATGGCTGACTGATCTATCGAGGATAATTATGAATATCCGACAACACTGCCGAAAGGTAACCGTATTTTAAAACTGTGTTCTTTTTCAAATCTCACTACTAAACGTAAACAGCATTAAACGATGGAAGAGATTGCAATGTAATATGAATCTGATGAATTATAATTATTAGGTTAAAAGGAACATCCCGCAAGATGGAAACAGTATAATTGAACTCCCAAAAAAGGTAATGAAAATTACTTCCTTTTGGTATTGTAATATACAATGGATACTTTATAGTTTGATTGTCTTACAGATTTATGATACATTGTCTGAGCATAATGATTGCTTAAGAACGTTGGGTTTCCTGTTCCAAGATGTATGTTCGAATATTAATGTACAGGCAATCTCACCGGGAGGTATGGTCTCACTTACTGATAATGAAAATAATTTCCTTCTGTTAGATAAAGTTCTATTGAGCTGTTATTAAATTTCGGTAATAAAAATTCCAATCTTATTTGATGACCTACGGTATCTTAATTGACGTTTTTAGAAGATGTTAATATATCTGAATATGAACTCGAGAATACTATTCTAAAATTGATTCATAAATCCTACGGAAGTGAATCTTCCTTGGAATCACTACGGTAATACAAACTGTAGGATTTTATTATTCCTCAGTAGCGTATGTACTATTTGCTTGTTATTTTTGGCTAGCGTAAGATTCCAATTCCTATTGAGCAAAATCGGCGCTTACTTGCGAATGATTTCACAGGCATTGCTACCGATCTTAGTCTTGGTTTAAACTCGAACACTATCGATGTATTTTAATACAACTGTAAAAACTATTTTCTCTTGTATAGTGATTTACTAGAGAAAATTGAATTCGATATGCAAACGATTGCTGATGCCTTGCAAAGTGGTGAATATGACAATGAAGGCAATAAGGGATACAAGGTTGAGTACACTATAGTATCAGTATGAGTTCATTTCACTTGTATTTTCGTCACCTACTGCGATAGGAAACATTTGCTTACACTAATTGTTGCAGTAATTTTTTTGAACCACCTAATTGATAGGGAGAGGCCCCTTATTCTATCCGAGCTAAAGAAATGATTGGAATCATTGACAGTGCTGTTGCAGTTGAAAAGAAGTTAAAAGAGAAAGAAGAAACGGTCACTGAACTTCGAAAGGGTCTTAAGGGAAAGGTTATACTGGATATACTATAAGAAATAAGATTTATGTAAAGCCTATCCTTGCGTTACAGACCCTATAAATGTTACTGTCATATCATGCCTAGAATGATGAAATAGGAGAGCTCAAAGTACGAATTAATATGTTGGAGAAACGTGTTGAAAATGCGACAAAAGAGGTGCCCTGAAGAGTGATGAATGCCATTTTTTAAGGCTTGCTATTAATTGCTATTTTCCGATATTTGTGCAGTCGCAAGCCCACCTTCAGGATTTAGAAAGGAAACTAGAACACACGAAAGAAGAATTGGCTAAGAAGGAGAGGTTATCAATTATTCAATCGTTGCTTCAGTCTATAATTAACTTAAATTAAAATACTATGAAACTGAATTAGTGTGTTTGAAGCTGCGATGGATGGACTACAACAAGACATTGAAGATTTAGAGAGAGAAAAAGAAGAATTAGAGAAAAGGCTGAATACTGTCGCTAAAAAATCGATGATGACTAATATTTCTCAACGTGGTCCGCCATCTGGAATAGCTGCTATTGTTGCTGGATTAAGCGGATCATCAGGCACTGATCTTAATACTGATAGTAACACTATTACACCTGGATCTATAATTGCTGGTGAAACGTCTCAAGTTGTTATCCGAGATTCTGACAGTATTTTGAAACAGGTTCTTAAAATAGCTATGCTTAAAAATTGTACGTGCTTGAACTAAATCAACTTCATGGAGTCAATATTTTAAAGAATGATACAAAAAATCTTATGCTAGGTGGATATTTTAAAGTCAACGGTTCGCTATCTTAGAAATGAAAACCTTCGATTAAAGGGAGAGAAAGCTAAGGTTCTCTATATATGTATTATTATTATTTAAATTCGCTCATAGTGATCTGGCTATTACAGTACTTTTAAACCTGTATATAACGTTTAAAACAAATTGATTGCATCTGGCTTTGTTAGATTGAATTAGCAAGCCTTCCACCAATAATATTGCCGAATAGTTTAAGTAAGCCTTACGATGAATTAGAAGCAGAAAAAGAAGCTGATGGAAACACGGAAACTATAGACGGTAAGGCAACAGATGTTTATAATTTTATTATCTACCTCTAATATAATCAACTGACGTGTTTTACTAGATGAGCAAGAAAAAGAAACGAAAATTGATGTGAACAAAGAAAATTCTACAGATACAACATTTCAGATTGCCTCCTCGAGAGCACCCATGCAAATTAAGTCAAGGTCTACCACTAAAACTACTGAATACTCTGTACAATCAGTTGTGCGAGAAATATGTGATGTCCTTCATGTTAGTACTGTATTCGTAATATTAAAATTTTTTATTAAGAATTTTCACAACATATATTTTGATTTAAAATTCTTCATCTGTAAAATCTAACCACAGAGAATTGAGTCCGCTAGTTCAAATCCGATAGTGGTTGATATTAGCAACAGAAAGCCTGGAAATGTACCAGCCTCAGAAAAACAAAAACCTAGTCACCAGCTGGTAAACAGGGTTGCTTCTCTAAATGAACTGCAATCCTCGTATGACCAACTTCAAAAAAAAGTATCAACATTTGTTGCTAATCGACTTCCTGGTGGTGTATCAAAGACTACATTTTCTTCATTTGTTACCCCTGTTTTCTCAAAGGTATTTAAATCATACATAAATTTCTTATCTTTACTTTATAATTAAGTCTTTAATACGATAGCATCTTTACTCACTGTATTAATCATCCTAGTCATTCTATGAACAAGCTGCTACTCCTGTTATTGGAAAAGTAACGATACCAACTTTGGAGAACGAGTATAAAATGGACAGACATAACTTATTGTTACAGCATTCTCAATGGCATGCTCTGCATACATTATTTGTTCGATAGTTATTGATTCTTGCTACTATCTGTTTTGAAATTTATTCTATTTGATGTAGATTCTACTATGGATGAGATTATGCGAATTAGTGTTAAACAAAACTTTTTATAAACACTAAAAGATCGATCGACTGCTCGTACTAAATTTGTTAATTCATTTACTATTTTGAAAGTTTCTGATATCCTAGTATTGCGTGTTTGAAGTAAAAGTGTTCTACGTATGAGCTATTTTATGCTATTTGTACGATCATTAGAAACATTAGAGGCAAATTGTACTGTACGATATTTTCAAACTTTTAAAGTAATTGCGCTACTCTAACTTTGACGATAAAGAGTAAGTTTGTATCTTAATGGTTTTAATGAATAAAGCCAAATACTTAAAATTTTTTAACAGTATACAACGTGCGCGTATTACGAAAGCTTTCTTCAAAGTAGGATTAACTTAGTTTTTTTCATAGAAATTTATTGTTGTCTTTAAACTATACATAAAGTAAATGTCCTGTAATTATTTGAAATAAAGCAATATATGTAAATTTTTAGCATCAGCTGTTATGTCCCGTTTATACATTTTACAATTATTTCTTTATATAATTCTGAGATACCAAACTTACAGGAAGAAATTAGCATGCTTTACTATAAATTTCGTATCTCAGTAAGCGTAGTTTACATTGTTTGCATACACTCCATAATAATATCAATGTGCAGAAAATTTCATTGATAACTCGCATAGACTATATGAGTGATTTTAATACCGTAAATATGAAAATGGGAGGGAGGACTGTACAGTACATTGTATAAGTTTAGAGCAAGACTGATATCCTAGGGACCGTAAGTGCTGTTATTGAGGTTCTGAAGTAGTTTTGTTACCAGACATTCAAATGTGTGACTCTTCTTTAAATGTTACTAGTTGAGATAGATAAATATAATTGTTCAGAAAGCTTATTAGCTAATGCAATGAATTACTAGTAGTCAGCTATTTTTATTATAGAACAGAATACATTCCTACTTAAAATTTATCTTAAGCCCGCGCTTGCAGGAGTATTTACGTATACTAGCGGCACGATTATCGGGTAGTGGGATACATAAATTACGGAGAATTCTTCAAACTTGACATTCGAAATTTGGATAAATAATTAATTTACGTGCAACTAATATTTTTATACCGTAGTGGTGTATGAATCGTAAATTATGTACTGTGCTCATGTTGGTTAATCTGAAATATCAAATACAATATATGCTTCTCCTTTGCCTTACAGTATTATACATATAAGGAAATTTAGTGGAGTTGATGGATACTAATTTGTTGATTTAATAGAGACAAAAATTACATAGTTTAGAAGTAGTCATGTCACAGTAATAAACCGGACAAATATACGAGTAATTGTAGCAGATTATATCGATGAAAAGATTAAGAGCAGTAAAATAAGGTTGGAATAAGATACTTTTTAAGTCCTTCTAACTGAGCTTAAAACAATCGTACGCATAAATGCATTAAACGATTATCGTATCAAAACCAGTATATCTCGCCAAAATGTATCAGTAAACTTTTACTAAAAGCCATCGCACTTTGCTAATGCAATACTGTAATATGAATAAATCTGAAATAAAATTAAATTCAAGGTAATATTATAAAGCTATTTCTATACTTAGGATTCATTGCGAGCATTTAGCCTACTGTGTTATATCATGTAGTAAAGGACCGGTAGATTTTTTCTCTCCTAGTTTAGCTATTCAGTAACTATGGTAACTATAGTATTGATCTACAATCAATTTTAGATTTGATCTCAGTATAAAATCTCTCAGCAAGATAACGCAGAAGGAAAAACTTCAGAATGTATTAAGTAGCATTGCCATATTTTAATACGTTTAAACTCGTTGATTAAGCCAAGTAGGAGGACTTGGCTTTAGGCGAAATATACCTTAATAATTTAAAATATTACAAAAACTTGACTGTAGTACGATGGATGCTTCTATGTAAGTCAATTCACTAAAGTAATATTACTATTTACTATTACTGTCTAGTGGTAGCCTTAGTGCAATATTTACAAAAATTACAGTCGCACAAAAACTACATAGAAAGTTATATGGTGTGTTGAGTTTATTTATTAATGTAATGCATTAAAAACAAGGGTAAGTTAATTATAATAATTATAGGTATCTTAAACTAAGTTAAATAGGCATGTGGTCCGCGACTGGAGTCGTTGACGTCAGTAAACAACAGCTGACTGGTTGCGGAATAAGAAATTTTCATAACTATTACATTTTCAACAAGTATACTTGAAGTCCTCACGTCGAACGTAATAAAAAGCTATGCTGACACAAACACTATCTTACTGACTTTAATTCAGTACTCATGGTGATTTTCATTTAAAACGGATATTCTTTAGAGCTTAAATTCGAAAAGAACAATCGTATTTGCTACTGAACAGCAGATAGACCATTCTAGTCACATTACAATTAAACTGTTTGAGTATACATATGTATACATTATTGAATAATATAGGGAATCCGGAATACGTCATTGTAAAAGTACATTAACAAGAAGCATCAAGGTATATTTATATTCGTAATCTTATATTATCCCAAAATGCACATTAGCCAAAAACTACCAAATCTACCGCATTTGGATTTATTCTTTTTTGGAGGCGCTGTTGTTTGATCTTTTTCATTAACATTTCTCGAGGTCCCTTTTTTTGTTAATGAAAGTATCTTGTTTAGCAAGGAGGATCTTCGTTGTGAATCATCTATTTATTATAATCATGTAATCTTATATATTAATAGAACTGGAAACACATGATACAATTAAATCATAACCACAGAAATTGAAATAACGGTTGTTCTAGAACTATGTACACATCCTACTATTATATAGTATGACATATTCACTATTACTATTCAGCTATTTGAAATAATGTAAAATATAGTACGTGTAGCGTATTTACCTGATTTAAGTATATTCGATATGAATTATTAATTTAGTGTTTTTCATTACAGTATAATAAAATATGTCAACGATGGAGTACTTATATATTTATATTCCATCATTGGAATGAGACTTATTTTCAAGTTAATGTAAAAATTGTTCCAAATGTGAAAAATATTTATAGTAGAAAATGCTCTGAAGGTCTCAATGGTTTTAGTATAACTTGATATTAGCGCTATTACCTTTAGGGTGCAGAATTTGACGATTGTAGGGAACATGTCGTATCGATTCCTCCCATCCCTTCGTCAATAGTCTGCTATTTCCTATGTAATCGTTGAATCGTTTTGGAATTTCGACAAAGCGCTTGTGTTCTACAGATGTAAAGCGACGCGGCGTTGCGTTCGTTAGCTGATAGAACCACATGGCACTTATAATCACTACGATAAATTTTTTCATCTTCAGCATTTTCGAATAAATCTGTTTAAATTGGAAAATCGCAATTTATATAGATATTTATCGAGGCTTTCTTATTTATAGATAAAATCTTAAATTCTATGTTTGTCTACGGTATCGCATTTATCAATGCACAGCAACTTTGAAGCCTAAATTCAAACAAGTACCTTTGTGCTTTCATAAAAAAATAGACAAGCGAATAATGCGCTACTGTTATAAAACTAATTGCTATATTTTGAAATAAGCAAGTTCTTTATAAATTTTTAGTGATAATCTATACTATTCTTTCAAATATTTTATATAATTCCACTTACATTTATGTAAAGTAATCGGCCCGGTGATAAGATCAGTTCAAGGTGTAGAATGATTAATCGATTTGTATCAAAACATTTGCTTTTATAGCTTCTGCACTATTGATTATCTATGATTACACTCGGAATTACGTAATATTATACGTAGTACTTACGAATACTAATGCTATAATATCACTGACAAGAACTAATAAATTACTAGACTATTCGACTACAATAATACGTGTAAACTACGAACAAAGGGTAACAACTGGCTACTTTTGTTAATAATCCTGAAGGTGCGGATTAAAGTAAACAATGACAGGGAAAGAGGAAGTCGCTGCATAATAGAAGATTATTAAGAAGACTAATTTTTTAATCTATAAATGCCAAGGCTTTATAACTTTGTCTATACAAATAAACATAATTCTATTCTTGACGAGTCGTCCCTAACGGTGTTTTAGTTTTAGATTTGTTTTGTTTGAAGGTGTAAATGTCTGCTGAGGTTATCATACATCTGGAAGCTAAAAATATGTCAGAGTAATCCAAAACATATTTATGCGTAATCAACATACATATGATAGAAATGAATGTGAATGTATTGTAAGTCACTGGACACACCGCTGATTCACATCGATCTAATTCACCTTTTATCTATCCCTTCTTATTGCAGCTAACATATAATATCCGCAATATAATTAAATACTACATTTCTTTTTAAAAATGTTAAAATATTAGAATTTATGATTATAAAATATTACTATCATTTATATATAGATAATGTATATACGTAAACAATATTGCACCTGTAATCTAACTTTTTTCGAAGTCAAATCATTAAAATCAAGCTGTTATATGGTTCCGATCTATTTAAGAATTGATTGTAGAAGTGGATCGAAATACTTATGCAAATATTAAAATGCCCAAATGGCAACGTCATTCCCCAAAATAGAGTGATTGCATATTATACATTTTTTATTATCTACGGTATTGTTTAGATTACAATTAAATTTTAGAATCCGAAATATACTGCGTATAAAGAAGCAATCTCACAATTGATTCATAAAAATTTATTAGAAAGACATTGCCAGCCGTATAGATTAACCTTTGTAGACAAAGTTCTAGCGAAACATATTATTTCAAGATTTAGTATAAATCAAATCTAGCGCCATATTTCGTGGTTGTTATTTTGTTGTAGCAAATATACTTTGGCAATATATGTTTAATGCCATCAGTATGCAAAATTAAAGATAAATTCTATGGCGTTATAGAATTTTTATCTTTATTTAGCATCTTAACCAAATCTTTAAAGGAAATTTCATAATAGAGATAATACTTAAATTTACACCAAGATGCTAAAATATTTAAATTGATATGGCTACTGCAAGCATAAGTTTCGATGTTTTGCAGTCTGTATGCTAGTTTAAAGATTAAAAATTGAAGGATCAGGAATCGAAGATATGCTCTACTAAAATCAAACTCTAATGAATATAATTTAATTTATTACTTAGATCTGCCGTTATATATAATGGCATAGCCTTAGAAAATCTCAACCAATGTAGGCTACTCTGGATTAAATAATAAGGTCCTCGTTGATATGAATTATAGACACATATCGCAATCCTTAAATTTCTTTATCATGGAAATATGTGAACTGTCAAGTCAATGAAACCTTATAGTCTAATCATGAGTAAATTTTACCTGTGAGGATTTAAGTGATATGTTTTACTACTTGAATTTATCATTATATTGACAGTAGACCCTTACCGTTGTACCTACAATACAGTGAGAATCGACCTTTGACAGAAAATTTACGCTTTTAAGAGAAAATTTTTAGTTGAGTGGTCTCTGGTACTGTACAATTAATTACTGTAATTTCTTAACTGGTCGACTTGATACATGTTTCTCACATGGTCAATTTTAAGTTTTTTGTTCCAGGGTTGGAAGTTCAAGCAATTTGTTAATTTATACTGCTAACGGAGAGACAAGAAATATATTTTAAAAAAGGCTTTGCTATAATACGTATCGCGTATATCTATTAATAATGATCAAGAATAAATTTTTTTCAAAATATAAATCGCTGTCCGCAGGTACCGGTAATGAATCAACTGAATAGATTTATTAGTAGACTTTTTAGAAAAGTATACAGTGTCTGTTCATCGTGAATAGGTATTTCAGCTAGTTTATAAACATGTTATTGTACCAATATTCTGTCGCTTTATGTGAAGTGAGATTGCTTGGATTAGGTGTAAATTTGATATTAATTGTAAATTTTTGTTCGTGTCCGAACAAGGTCTGTCATTTTCATATATCACAATTCTACTAGAAAACTTCTACAAGATTATGGCCTGGGTTTTCATTGGCTTTACAACAATAGTTCATCGATAGAAAATGACGATAGATTTACTGTATACCCAATAAAGTAATGGAGGTGTACCTGCGAATTCTGCTTACCGCAGTTACCGGTAATTTTAGTGCTGTGCTCATATTGTTTTATGGTAAACAGCAATACACTTAGGAAATTGCTAATAGTGAGATATTTTTAAACCTTTTGTTAATACAAATTAAAATTAGTTGAGGATATTCGATGTAAATGCTATAAATAGTGTTACTCACAATTGAGTGAAACCTATCATAATCGTTTTAATAGCGGTTTTGTATAATAACTAAATCAGCCTTTCCTTAAGGATTTTAGTGTATGCCTGTTAAAATTTTTAAATATTGGTTAAGGTAAGGCTTGCAGCATCTGATAGAATAATATTAACAGACAGACTTATGAATGAAAAAGTACAAAAATAATAATTTCAAATGGATTAATCCGCTTAATCAGAGTATGACACCTGTCATTTTATAATGCCACATGATATCTTTATTTCGTGTTTCTCAGATAAAGATTTGTAGATGAATTCGTACGTCTAGTCGTCTACTACCGCAGTACAATACCTAATTGCACACTTTGCACTAGCTTCGACTATTTGCGAGGTTGCTATAGCTATAACGATCGAAACTGGATTGAAATTAAATCTATTAAATCAATTGAAGGTAACAAGCGTTAACCCAGTTTCAAAAAGAAATTTAAGGTAAAATTTACCGTAATCAAATAGAATCCATAGCGATGGAGGAATAGATAAATATTTATACCCTGGCAACACGGCGAGTAATGTTAGAAAAGATTCTTACTTATACAGTACTATGAATTTGCGATATAACGCTATGTAAGTGTTTACTATAGGTTAAAAGATAAGGTGAATCTTCAATTCAGCACGTATATTATTATCACTGCAATATACAGTGTTTAAAAGAATTCTAGAGCATAATTTTAAAAAGAGCACGCTATAGTGTCAAGTAATTGTCTTGCATTTTTCCGCAATGTCGTCATATCTCCGTTGATGATATACGCCTTTGAATCTTATTAATTGAATATGATTGTACACTTCCGTTCACCATTCGATCTTGCCAAATTCTGATTCATTGACTTTCACTAGGAGCTTAATTGGCATCACAAATAACTTCTACAATCTATAAATATATTTATGAATTTTAACAAACTATAATTAGGTAGCACAACGGTAAATTTTTGCTTACGCTTTGTTCCATAAGTAAAGGTTCCAGGCATCGATTTACAGTACTATTCACAACCTCATCCAATAGAAAACTCACTATACTGTTATTAAAATAATGTTAAATATTACTTTAGTAACGACTAACATAAAATCATTTATAAAAGAGTATATGAACATCGCACAAGAGTGAACGATCGACTACCTTTCGTCAGAAACGAATTTCCATAAGTGCAGGTATAAGTAGTATGTGTCGACTTGTATTTGTTGCAGACCATATTTATTAAAAGTGCGCAGTCGGATACACTCAAGAAACGTCTTGAAGATAAAAGTGCCTCAGTTATAAATACAGTTTACAGTTATTCTAGCATACTGCTAAAGATACATACTTTTAAAGCAATTTTAACTATTCCCGTCATAACAGATAATTTACTGAATTCTACGGCACTAAAGATTTCAATCCTTTCTGTAAATAGCTTCTGGATATTAGACATTAAGCTAGTATCAAACGGTGCCACACTAACGAAATAAATAATCAAGATGTTAATCGGATGCATTCTGCTTCCTGTATGACACAGAATCGAATTTTAATTCGCTAACTTTCCACTGTATCCCCATTGTTTAGATTGATTTCTTGAAGGTGGACGCCTCCCTGAATCTTTTCCATAGTAACAAAATATTTACCATATAATTTCGTCAAGATATTCATGAATTAGCTTAATTATAATAATAATTATATCCTTTTAAACAGTATAGTGATAACATCGTTTCACCTGAGCCGATATCGTGTCTTGATGCATCTTCAAATAACATTCCAACCTGCACATCAACAGCGTTGAGATCTTCTACAACTCTTTTCATAACAGAACGGGCATTCCTTGGCTCAATGGTGTTCATCCAGTCGCGCGTTTCAACGCTTTTTCTTATCATCTAAAATGTAAATCGAAATATAAATGTATACCTACTGCCTAGAATTATGCAACATATAGCCTAGTTGGTGACAGGGACTACTCAAGAAGAAATTTTGTTAATTTTTCTCTCCTCCCCTTCTTGTAAGGAGAAGGTGGAAGGCTTAGTTTGGCTGGAGGGGATTAGCTTGAGATTTGGGGGACAAATTTTTTCTTCAGTAGTCCCTGTTGGTGGTCAGTAATCTTATCTACATCAAAATAAACTAGTAATTTATGGTGTGATGTGGGTACCTGAGATATTATTAGCCCTTGAGTTTTTACGTAGTAATCCAGTAGAGTCTAAAATATTTGAGGTACTTTAATACTAAGATAACGTGAATTGTGATTATAATATTACTATATAACCTGAGCAGTATCTTTGGTTTGTTGACGTAATTCCATAACTGATAGACTGTTTGAGCTACTATCACCGCCAATAATGTGGGGAAATTTCTCATCTGTTATAGATATCTGTAAAATTCGCAACAGTAAAATGCTGTAGCAATTAGAGGTACTTCAAGTATTGTAAAAGCTCAATTTGATAAAAAAAATGAAAGGTGCGTGCTTACTATATAATTAATAGTCGAATTGTGAAAATCAGAGCAGAGGCGGGAAAGTAGTAGCAATAATTCCGGTGGTATTGACATTCCTTTACCGTGAATGGTCGTGCAAAAATTCTAAAACGATTAAATCAAAATCTTGACTGCTCCATCGGCGCATTTAAATTATGTAATAAAATTACGAGTAGATAACTTTGATATTCCTAACTTTCGCTACTATGTTGACATGCTTGATAAAATTGATAACGAATGAATCCCTGACATCGCGACAAAAGTTATTTCGAAAGTATGCTGTGTTGGCTATAGTAGTGAAATCCGGGTTTATAAATTCCTGCGATAAAGCAATACATTGTAATGTTATGTGCATTAGTGGTCACTCATTAATACAATGTAATACTGTGTGCCAAATATAATGATAACATAATATCGACCTCCAAATGATCGAGGAAGTATTTCATTTTTTGGGTGACAGCTGAAATAGTTCTATGTAATAAATCGATCATTTTAATTTCCAGCTCTTTATCTTTTTGAGATATTTTGTTACTCGCCATAGTCTGCCTAATATCAGTTATGCAATCTAGTAAGTTAAGAATAGGAAAGTGACGTTAAATATCACTCATTATATAAGACTAATTTGAATACAATGAAATATTTTAGCGAACCTGCAAAATACGCTTTCAATTGCTTGAGATAGTGATGTAAACGCTCTCGTGTTGCATCAAATACCACGTTTAAGCTTATCCTGTAATAATTATAATCAGGATAGAGTCAGATACCAAGATATTTTGTGATCGTGCACAGTTTTAATTTATATTGTATATGGTATACGTATCTCTCAGAGTGTCAGAATATTTAGAATGGAAGTTATCTTACTCTTTTATGCCAATATCAGGCAGTAGCTTGTCTAAAGCTTGTAAACGTCTGTAGAATCTGTCAAGGGCTCTAACTAGGATAGGATTGTCTTCACTATCGGTCTGCAATGAGGCAAAGTAGGCATAGATCACCCATTGTTAAAGGCTAATGCATCATTAAGCTATTACAAAATGTCGAAACGAAAATGATCTAAAGTGTATCTAGATATAAATTACGTACACAAGGAATTTCCAATAGTATAAAATCCTGACAATAGCTTAAATAATCGTTAAACATTTTTTGGACAAACTGTCTGAGTCTTTCAGTTGCCGCATTTTCTGTTTCACGTTGAAGTGGTGTTCTGTTTTTGATAATGATTTATTGTGAGACTGACATCGCTAGGCATTAAGATACTATAAATGTTTAGTATGCACACCCAATATCACTATGATATTGCATGAAATTCTCTTTATATGTTGCAATTACAAGACACATGTCGCTTATGAATCCATTACAGCCGCAATCAATAAACTCCAAGATATCCTGCATTCGAACAAGACTTATTATGATGTGGCTTCGTGTCATATAATAAAGTATGTGATAACATAATTGTGTCGCAGGAATTTAGTAAACGAATTATATCTGTTTAAGAAACTCACCATCGACTGAATATTGGCCGGATTAGCGTTTGGACTATAACTTTTTCTACAAACGTCTGCATTAAGCAAATCATCAGAGGTGGTGATCGCCGAAGTTTCTGTAACGAAATTGGGATTTTGTTCTCCATCAACACTCACAGTATGCATGTTAAGTTTTCTTGATTGTAGCTAAGAATGGTATTAGAATTATTAATATTGTTTGTTAACTTAAACAATCTTATACATAAAAATTTAATTTGATAAGCTACTAAAAAAGTTGATTTGCCTTGTCTTTAAATATAATTAAATTCATAGTTACAAGTTTGTTAAAGCATACTAAAAACTTTATATCAAAAATTACGGACTTGCTGCCTGAGAAACTGTAAATCTTCATCTAGACGTCGCTTAGCGCTGTGTAAGGAAAATAGCAGTAATTAATTGCGTATCATAGTTCAACAGATGGAACAGTTATAATACTGTACATACTGGTTCAAGAATTTATCATACAGTTCATCAGGTTTTTCCTTTAATTGCAGTAAAAGTTCAACGCATGTCGTCAATTCCTTAGAGGTAGACTGAAAGTATTGGAAAATCAATCAATGGAGTAATAAACCTAAAATTAATAGTTTGAATTCTGTAATAACGTATAAGCTCAGCAACTAAATATATTCGAATATTCTGACCTCCGGATCATCAAACTTCTCCTTTAGAATCTTGCATAGTTCACCCATAATAGATTGGCAGTCATTGCGTATCCCTTGAAAGGAAGGCTCATGATGATACCGATCGAGAATATCTCTTGTTTTAGTATAATACCTAATCATAGTATATGAATATCATAATAATCATTTGATGCTGTGAAGTTAAAACTCTAAATATTAATATCAGGCCAACCTAACTGCCTGCGAAAAGGACTTCATATGTATACATTGCTTCAGGCGAAATGGAAGCTCAAACAAAAACTGTAGCTAAGAATATATTGATGATATAAAATGTAAGTCAGATTTTCTGATTCTATTTGAAATATGTCAATAAGGGACTTCTAGCTCAGATAAAAGCTATACTTCGTTATTTCGTAAATCAGCTATGCAGTGGTTACTTACTTTCTTCAATAATGTATGAACTCCCGATAATTTCGTTATTTGTTGACGCCTTTCAGCCAATGTTGAACTAATGTTGCTGCTAAATTCAGTAATTGATGACATTTTGATTGCAAGCTGCTCCATTTCGTTTTCCATTTTTTTAAAATCATGTTTCATCTATTTAAAGGAAAGGAAAGCAAAGCAACAGGAGAACGCTTACTTATATTTTTTAATGCTATTACCAAGTTAGATGATCTCAAATTTCGTGTCTGTCGATTATGCGATATAGTAATGATTAATCTAAGACATCATTTTAGATGGTCCTATCTTATTTTGCGATTTACAGTCGACAAAGAACGTAATCAAAGCAGAGAAGACATACCTTTTTGATAGTATCCGTTGCACTAATAAATTTGTTGTAGTTTTCATAGACTAGAGTTTGCATTTCACTGTCCAGGGCTCGAATTTCTGCCATTAAGGTAAAAATCATATGTACAACCATAATATGAATTATATTAATGTAAAGGATAATGAGGGGTAAAAGTATATATGTGAATTACGTTAGTGTGTTACAGTAGTTCACTGGCAACTAACTAATAAGGTTTTAAAATCATTTTTGACGGAAATATTAAATGCATCAGAAACGATTATATACCTCAGTGATTTCTAGGGTTACAGTTATACCGTATTTATACGAGGTCGTATTAGTAATAAATACAGTTGGGATAGCGTGATTTTATTAAATTCAGAAAGGATTCCGTAATAGTATAAAAATTTCAAGTAACTACAATAGGGGGCTAACGATTACAGGATTGTTTATGGAAAGCCTACGGCACTCCATATCATTCATAGGATGTGTCAACAGAATCTCGCGCTATTACTCCATAACATTCCACCGTCAAATTCTGCTATTTCTGCAAATATATTTATAGAACTTTCCATCACATTACGTGTATTACTATAGCTTTTGTTGGAGTGAAAAATCGCTACTCTAACATGTCTTTCTGTGGCCCCAACAGGATTGCTCATTACCGTAATCCTTACACTTTTAAATGACGGGAATACTTTCTAGTTTTATGTCACTATTTTTAAACTTATAATTTACTATTTATTAATAGTAATTATTGTTATCAATGTATAAAATTTCATCGTTATGACATTCTTAATAAGATTTTTAAGGTTAGGCATGTGAAATTCATTACTAACGTTTGACCATCTCCGTTTCCTTTTCCATTAATTGTTGAAGTCCATTCTCTCTAAGTTGTTTGGACAGATAAGATTCTACTTTAAATTGGTTACTGTCGATATCCAATGGATCGATTGTTTGTGACCCTCCTTGTTCTTGCAAACCATAGTATAGCTTCAAAATGCCACGAGTCGGACGACGAGTGGGTTCATCTCCGCCGTCAAAATCTGTACAGAATGGTACAAGAGGGTCAAGAGTATGCAAGCTGTTGTATCAAACAAGTTAAAGTTTCAATATTACACTAAGAAACTAGAGATGAATTGTGCAAAAACAATTACATCGGTCTAAAACCATGTTAAGATAGCAAACTGTGGCTCTAGACAGCATTAGAATCTGGATTATACTAAGATCATAACATTGTCATTATATAATTAAAGTTGCGAACTACAGTACTAGGAATTCATTGAATGGTCCCCGCGGCTGCGTTATTACCTGATGCAGCCATTTTGGAACTTTTATGTAGTATAGAAGACTGTATTTGTTTACCATGAGCTGTACAGAATTCTACTCGTGATCAGTCATTGAAATTATGGTACGGTGCATATTGTTATGCAAGTCTAAACGTTTTTAATAATTATTTAACAAACAACTACGTACATAAATCAATCTTACTTGCTATACTGCAGTATGTCTGCGCAGCATATACCTGCTATTTTAGTAAAACTAAAGTTACTGGTACCAATTGCATGGCACAGAGGTAAGAAAATGGCCAACTATCGACTTACCCACTGATATTTGTCCGTAATTAGTAATTAATATTGTTGCAGATAGGATCATATGATCAGTGAATTATGCCATGCTGTACAGTGTACAGTACGTACAACCCTAAATTGTCAGAATTTCAATCACCAGCTGTTCTCGTTTAGTCTCTAATAATTAATTATATTTACTAATAATACCGTACAAATGTACACTTGTACAGGTATACGGCGCACCTACTACGTAGTTTTTTTCTGATCTCTCGCATACAGCACTTAAAAAGTACAGTATAGTACAGTAGCTATAATTATCCGTGACTTACAGAACTGTACGTACTGTATATCAAAGCTAACTCGGATCTAAGAGATAGGAGTATAAAGATATTTTAAGGGTGTTATTGATATTTTGATAGCACAAACTAAGGTTAGGAATTAAATCTTGCCATTCTAACTATTGAAGGGAACTCTTTTCTGTTAAAATCGAAGCTGTTAAACGGTGTAAGAGGTCATTTACCCGATCTCCAAATGCGTAAATTTATAGTGAATACTCTCCGGATGTGTCTGAGCTAGTGGATGAATTGGCGCATTGACATACGAATAATGTAATAGATAGCAACAGGACAGAAGCAAACGCTTACAACAACTTCTGTTAGGAAAAGCTATAATATTGTATATAATAAATGAAATTCGTGTGAAAATCGAATTTCATTTATCTCTATAGTGTACTTCTTATCAGGCTAAGCAAACTACAGTATTCTACAGTACATGCCACAAAAATTTAACGAGCAATATTCATGCACAATACAGTACTGTACTGTACAGTGTACAGCGTTTCAGATTCAGCTGCGTGGATAATTTATAGTTGATTAGTGTACCGTAGACGCATTTTATGGTGAAGTTATTAGATAAGATTTCAGCGATTTTAAGTCTTAATAAGCTCTGTCGATACACAACAAATCGTGAACGTACTGTACGGTACAGTGCACATATCTACAGTACAATGCAATTCATGGAATATGACGGCTGATAAGTGCTATGTAGTACAGTACTTTATATTATACTGGATGTTATCTGTCGTTTTGAAGATCTTTGGTTATTAAGAAAGTAAAACAAAATTACTAGTCGAGCCTGCATACAGTGTTTTACGTTATGAATTGATGAACATTTCAACCTCTTACCCGCCATTTGGATGCAAGGAGATTCGGAAAGGCTATATTTCACATACAGTATGCACACTGCAGGCTGCGGCGGTACCTGATCAGTGATCACGGCATAAGCGTTTATGAAACGTTAACTACGCTGTACGCAGCGTTGTTCACAATTAAATGTTTAATGTTATAACCGAACCTTTCTCACGCCTACAGTACTTGGTAGCTACTTTTGTCATGGAAGCATTAACTGTACTGTACTGTACAGTACAATGCAGCTTAGCATGTGTAATACTTATACAGTACTGTATAGTACACTAATGTACAGTACAGTACAGTACACTTGTACAGTACAGTACTGTAAACTGTACACTGTACTGTACAGTAGAGTTAACACTTATCTACTGTACTGTACTGTACTGTACAGTACTGTACCGTACTGTAGTAAACTTGCATACAGTACTACAGTACAGTATACTGTACACTACAGGAACGAAGTAAAGTATTCTTAGTACTGTAGATATACAGTACAAGGTATGGTATGGCTATACTGTACTGTACTGAACTGTACTGTACACTCATGGAAACAGCGTATAGTACTCAGTATTGAATAAGATTTAGAATTTTTACATCAAAAACCAATTCGAAGTCAATCTTACAAATCCTATGAAATAAGCTAAAACATTTCATTCAGACTTACGCTTAACACATCGTATAAGGAGTAAAACGCACGAAAAATAACATTGTTAAGCGTATAATTTCCAAATATTTAATAGATTTAAGATTTTTTATTATGTTACAATCCATAAATGGATTCGCCATTTTCATGCAAATCGATACTGTATCATCAGCCATCTCTGTAGTATGCTACTGATGAAAGCGTAACCATACTGCTTAAAAGCAACTTGGCAGGCTAATAACAGCTGATTTGGATGTCAATCGCAGACTGTAGTGTGCCATTACAGATATGTGATACAGTTGAAATGACCAAAAAATAATCAGTCTCCACATTATTAGTACAGTATAGTGAACAACCGTTTCCTGTCCCGTCTCTTTCTGTTTAGTAGTCCCTGATACTATACTGTACTGTACAAGTGTACATGTATTCTGTACCAGAACAGTGGATTAGAAAGAAGGGCCAACATACAGTTACAGCTGTCGAAGGTTTGGTTGTAGAACCAGCGGCTTCTCGATAAAAATTGAACTTCGGCACTGCTACAGTCTACAGTATTACTGTACAGTACAGCTGTACTGTAGATATTGTAATCTAGTAATTAGCGGAGGAGTTTGCGCAGTCTAGCGACCTGAGTGTATCACTATATCACGTCCATAGAATTTTTCCTTTTACAGTTTTACCTCTACGATCACGTCTTTCACTTGAGGTATAGGTACCTCAAGGTTCAGGTATGGCTCGTCACTGGCTATAAGTTCTATACAGTATAAGGTTAATATCTGACGTAAAATCGAAGGCGCAGAGACACTGCGAAATCTATTAGGTTAGGGATAGGGTACACACGTACTGTACACCAGAGTTCTTAATCAGATTTAGCGCCTTGATACGCGGCTAGGCCAGGACGAGGTATGTACTGTAGATTTGAGCTCTACGCTACTTTGTCACAGCGTCGCCAGTTCGTGATAGAAATACAATAATAAACTATGCTGGTATATAAAATTGATAGTAATACGCCAAAAAATTGAGTAGACAAATATAACCATCCGTGTACTGTACAGTGTACAGTACTGTAGTACTTGTAACAAACTTATCGTACTGCATGTCATAAAACTTCAAAGGGCAACTGTACTTAGATTGATTCATTATATAGCTACGGTAGCTTACCATTAAGAGCAAAATTCTAAAGCCCAGAAACATTAAGATTAATTTAAGTATCGTCATACATTAGCAAGCCAAGACAAAAATTTCACCATAAATATAAAATAATAGCAGTTTATTAGCTATTTTACGGTAGCTACGTAAGTTACCACCATAACATTTATATTTAATAAGGCGTAGATAGAATGTTTGCAATTAACCATCCGAATTATGCCTCACATAGGTATTTACTGTTAAAACATTACAGTAGAAATTACGGGAATGTTAGTACATCTTCGATTTAGAAACTACAGTAATGCCTATCGTAGTTTATTAATGTTTGCAAAATAGCAACAGGGTTTTAAATTATAAAGGTGATAAACTTAATTCCAGAACAATCTCGTAAGCTATTTGCGGAAGGGTTTTACGGTTTAAATTGTGAAAAAAAGCAATTAATCTTCGTTAATAAATTCGCTTTTCGTTTCGTTATCTTCACCAACGACAATGTCAATGATAAATTCTTGGTCGCATCCAACATAGCAATCGCTCATTAATAAAAGCTTCAGGCTATGTTTACCAGGTCCAGATGCTATAAAGTCAAGCTTGATGTCGGCCTTCTGCTGTAATGTTAGTCGTTTTATGGACAACAGGCTACAAAATGATAATAACGTAAATACATGGTAAGATGAGCTTTAAAGTTATACTAAAAAAATTACTTGTTGTCTTCAGACTCCCCAATAACTAACCACCAGCCTTCGTCGCGTTTCTATTGTTAGTGGAGAATGATCGGTAATATGTACCCATTTTCAAATCATGTTCGTAATATCTGTTCAATACTAAAATCGGACTTACTTGTGGAAAGAATGGTGCTATTACTGGACCGCTAACTTCATCTTCTCTGCTTAATTGAACTTTCACAGTTGCTGGTGATCCGCTAATAAATAATAGGCAACATTAATTTCTAGCAATAAAATTACCGCGATAATAAATGTTACCTAATAATATTGCTTTCGTCTTCAACTTCATAAGATACATCAATATTGGGATACCGATTACAAAATCTTGCAACGTCCTATTTCATATTATAGTAATGACTGAAGTGCTGAAAGTAGATTAAGAAAAAGCCTTTCAATAAGAAGACTAACCTGCATCTGCTTATCATCGAGTTGTAATAAATCGTTTCTCTCCCCGTCTTCCATGTCCATTACATCAAAGACAGATTCAATGCCCTTATGTAAATAAGAACAGACAATATGGTGAAAACTCGTAATATCATTAAGACAAAGCATAGTGATAAACAGTTACTATGAGATAGGACTAACCTTTTCAGTGCATGATTTAATAATTTCTGATGTGAAATGTGGCAATTGTTTAAGGTAGGAATCTTTATTCCAGACAGCCTGAGTTAACTAGTTAGGTTATCAATAATTAAGATATTCAAATGATTAAAACATACGAGGGCATAACTAATATACTGGCATTAATAGCATACCATTTGAGCGATTTCCATGGCAGATAAAGCCGGGCTTAACCATCCGTTACTGCTTAAGACATCAACGCATGCGCGAATCAAACGGATAGCCTTCAATTTAGTAAAAGATAGCAGGTTAAATTTCGATGTGCTACTGACCTACTGTAATCGTCACTATAGATTAAAAGATTGAGTGTCGTTCATTTATACGTAAAACGTTTGAATATTTCAGTAGACCTATAACATCAAGTGATATCGATCACACGTGTCTCAAATCAACTGTCAATCGATATTGCAAGTGATCGGATGACTGTAAGAGACGCGTAACTCTTCAATCAGCTGGAAATTAACTTGCTATAATCGATATAACTTATAAGACAGTCACTTAATAAAATTGAATGTTGAACCTTATTTAGAATGTCTTCAGTATCCATTTGAAGCTCCGGAGGTAGTTGTATCCGTGACATATGAGCTTGTAGTAGAAGATTCGTCTTATTATGAGAGTCGTTAAATTTCAGGTCAGGCAATTTATATGGGACGCGTTGTGCTAACTGAATGCCGGAAAGTGAAAGGTAGTCATAAAAAACGATTCAATAGTGATACTAATCATTTTCGTTTGAAATAAGCACCTTGGCCAGAATCCTTTCTTCATGGCGTCTTATTGGTATATTTTCATATTCGGCGGACGAAGCCAAAATTTCTATTAAACCGCGTAGTTTAGTCTTGCCAGCAAGAGACATACTGAAAAGCTCTAGAGATTAAAGAGAAAAATTATATATACGAGAAGTAAAATGTGCATAAAATTTCATTAGTCCGGATTTACCGATTGTTCTGTAATTGATATAGTAGTAGGATGCAATCATACCAAGATTCAACGGGCTAATGTCAAAATCGTCCTCAATAGCAATGCACTAATTATAATTTATAATCAACCGGAAATATTAGCATTGGCAATGAATGGTAATTGATAACTTTTTTAAGATATTTACGATTCGTAACCTTGGATTGCTGTAAATCGTCTAAGATAGTCTCTACGAATTCCGATAAATGGTCGGACAGATGTCGATGGCTAACCCCTATGAATTACCGAGTAGAAAGTTGTTACACAAGAAATTTAAAATGCTATATGAACGTATAATGGACCTTGCAGGTTGTAGTAGTTAGGGTTTTGCGTCATTCGTCTATACATAAAAGTCCATGTTAAGTAATCTACAGCATCTTGCTTGTTTTCGATTGTTTTTGTAACAATTTCAGCATTGAGATGGTCATGAAAGCAGTGTTGTAAATGGGACTAGATATTAAATAGAAGCTTGTTAAGAAAGTGTGCGTATTTCCTCGAGCATCAATATGTAATGATGATATAATTCTTTTAATAAGATCCAGATCACTTAATTACCTCTACCGGTAATGGTTCGTAAAGAAATTTCTTATAGAATTCCTTTTTCGATGTTTGGCACATGATCACACAAACACCTACAATTTACAGATATCGAATATAATTAAATAGACTCGAACATTATAGATGGTCCGATACGATAGTCATTCTGTAATTTTCATTATCATAATTCACCAACCTGCATTATCAATCATTGGCCTGTTAGCTTTTCCAACCATCTGTAGGACTTCTGTTACTGGATAGTCGACGTACCTGTGATAATGTCGGTGCCTTAATAATAAGGTAATAACTGACATCTACAAAAAAACCTTACGTGTGATTTCTACCATCGTAATATTGGGTGTCCATAACAATTACCAAGTGGGCTCCAAAATTAAAATTCCAGCTCATTTTTCTAGAGATAACGACAATCTAGAAGAAAAACAACAATAAAAGTTAAAAAATTTTGCAACCTTTGCAAGAACTGACTATAAAATAAAGTAACTGTTATGTTTGTATGGCAGGCTACCTGTATGTAACAAGCATCATATAGTTGCTCGATTATTCTTAGTTCGGTATCACTCAAACCTTCGTGTACATACGCAATGCCATGCAACAAAGTTTCTTTTAACGTCTGTTATTATAATTAACGTATTAAAAATTAGAACGTCGTTGCATACGCAAGCCGAATAAATTTGATAGTATAGCTAACACTGTCTGAGATATGACGAAGATAATTTTCAATTTTTTCTATTGGACAAAGTAAGAACCTAAAAATAATTAAAAATTTCATATTTTAAGAAGTACTAATATAACATTAATTTTGAGCTCCATATAATACTTAGCATACCGATGTGCATCCCCGTCGGCTGTACAATAAGTTATTATATCAAGAGCCGTAAGTTTTGTCTGTCGTCGAGATGGTACATAAATAATACAAGGTTTCGAAGGGGAATACTTCAAAATCGTATTGTAAGTTGGCCTAATCATTGTTATAAATCGGGTTGGCGAATGGGTAGTGTGAAACCCCTACAGAGAAAATACATTAGGATCAGTAATATAATAACATGATTGCTAAGTGATTGAATCTGTAATTACAAACCTGTATATGCAACTCTAACGGCGTTGGCCTTACATTAGGATGAAAGTTAAACAAGCAGCTACTGCTGACACCAAGCCACTGAGCCAAATCCTAAATAACAAAGTATACAGTAGTTACTGATCTGGACAAAAGATATCCAATTTGGTTCCTAAAAACGCCAATCCGTCTTGGATTGAAATGTGTATTTACGTAATTTTTAGTTTCATAGATTACTTACAGATGCATTTGCAATAGGTGAACTAAGCATAATAATGCGTATTGGGTCTTCAACTTGCGATGAGATGTACCTCATTCGAGAACAAATAATTTCAATCGATGGCTAATAAATTTAAACAAATAATTAATATTATAGAAAACAAGTACCGATAATTGATAGAAATCTGCCATGATATAACAAAATATATTAAAATCTAACTACTTCCTATCATACCCCTATTTCCCCACCAATAAGATGAGCTTCATCAATTAGAAATAAATTCACTTTTAATACAGCTTTCCTTTGTTTCCATCTTCTCGAAAGTATATCCCATTTGTCGGGAGTGCTGATAATTATATTGCCCTAAATAACAGGCCAGTATAGTATTGAGCGAAAGAACGAATTTTATAATAACTTTTTAACGAAGAATAACTTACTGTACTTAATCGTTTTATGTCGATGCTGATCTCTCCAGTCAAAATATTGACCGTTTTTCCGAGACGTTTTTCAAATCTTTCCATCCATTCAATATAGAGCTATTAAAAAAAAATTTAATAAGATTACTATTATATTGATGATATAATATTACAACATATACAATTTAAGGTAATTGCATTGTTTAGTATGATATACAAACTTTTTCAGCTAGTGATTGGAAAGGCGTGACATAAACGCATTTTCCGTCATTTTGGGTATTAAGAAGCCGCGTTATAGCAAATTCAGCACATATCGTTTTACCACTGCCGGTAGGTGCCCCAACGAAGACATTATCATTGCTATTGTACAACGCATTAAATACTAGTAGGAATGAGATCATTAAGTATTAAAAAAGGGTTTTGTTACTGAATCCTGCTAAAGATCATGACGTAGAATAATACCTTGTGTTTGAACAGGATTAAAAAAAGTCAAATTTTTTTCACTGTAGAACTTTTCAATAGCAACATTTCGCAATGCTTTTACTGGTAAAGGCTGTAAGTCCAATAATTCTGTCGGCGGTGTAAATTTTTCGGGAAGAATTAGATGCCGGAAGGTTACAGGTAATACACTTTCACAACCTAATATCAATATAGAAAAATTTTCCGATGGTATCTGTTTTAATTGGTACTGATAGGTGTTCTGGTATACAAGTACATTGTACCATAGACTACTAAATATATCAGTGCATCTAGTAATCCATGATTGTACAATCCTGAACTTTATTACACTATATAACCTGATTAATTAATAAAACAATAAGGTAAAATATACGACCGAATGATACCAGATCCTTACCCAGCCAACGATCAGACACTACTCGAATAAAATACTGTGGAGGAAGAGGTTCAAATATCGGGACAAAAATCTTTATAACTTGTTCTTCGCTAGCATATTTACTGTACAGGAATTAAAAATTGAACGGTTATATTCAACGAGGATAAAAGATAATGAAAAATTAAATATTTCCTTAACGTACCTTTTCAGTAAAAAATACTCGCTGTGGAGCAATGCTTCACCATCGACATCTTCTATAAATATCCAGAAAGCCTAGTACAGAATGCTCGTTAGATATTTTTCGCTTTGTTAATGCTATGTAATAATACGTCATCGGAATTTGTCTAGTAGTTGTAATGTCCAACTTTACTACCAGTATTACAATGGTCTTGTATACTTATGCAATTATTTAGATTCCCACACTTGGTGATTATGATTATAGTAGGCACAGATGCAAACATTGAGAAAGTGAACCATACAGGTTCAAATACAATATTAATCATACTTTGGATTGTATACCTCTGATTTTCCATGTATTTTTTCATCCCACTGAAAATCTGGCGAAATTGATACCTCCACCTTCAGCATCGAGCTATAATAGCGTGAAACATTACTCTTTACATTTATACGTCAATACATACAATATTCTAGCTTACCGGGTTATGGGTTGAATATGAGCACTAATATCCAGCCTCGGAAATTGGTGAACATATTTGTATATCGTTTTACCCATTTTAGGTTTTCGTATTAATTCTCCAATTTCGTTGTGGCCGAGATCAAAAAGGCGTTCCCAGGGGAAGTCTTTCTTCTCTATTTTTCTAACTAAATCTACGGGAATCTTTTTAAACTGATGTAGGGGATTCATTGACTGCCACCTGAAGCGATTTATACATTTTAGAATATAGTCAATTCTATACAGCAATAATGTAAATTAAATCTAAGGTTACAAACATTTTTCTATCGATCATTTTGCACAGATTTAAAACTTTATCAACGGTTTGAGCCCAACCACGACTCAAAGCAATTTCGAATATAGCTCTCATTAATCGACCTGCAGACTGTTGACATATTTTTGTTACCAATTAAATCAACTATAAGTAACCACATAAGGCAATAAATTTAATGAAAATAGCAAAAGTTACTTGAGATATAAAAACCATATCTGCGGCAAGAGCGAACCCATCAAGCTTTAGTTGCGAAATATACGCTTGTAGTAATACGCTGACCTATCCCAAAAATCAAATTTGTTCTTTACATATGCTTATACTTTAACTGTTTACTAAAATTACTGATAACCCATAATGATGTACCTTTGCACTTGGCTCGTCGATACTTTCCTTGACAGGAATCGGAATCCTTTCCATTAGGCGCTGTAATTCGAGCTTTTCTTCCTAAACGATATGTTGAAGGTACATTAATTTTGCCAACGAAAACTAAATTTGGCATATTAATTCAATACCTCTCGCACTGTAATGTGCTTAAATTCTGAGGATAAGGAAAAGATGCGCAATAACTCTATTTCAGTTGAGGTCGGTTTCAGGTGTTTGTTATATGCAGAAATCGTTTCTCTGCTGCAATAATAATGACTAGCAATTCTTCCTAATTCAGTGATTTGAAAATTGCCAGATTTTTTATCATATTTTATTAGGTTGTCTTTATCCAATAGTGAAGCTGCTGTATGAATTAAATCCATGCGACGTTGTTCAAGGAAAGTGTCGTTTTCTTTTTCTTGATTCGAAATGCTGTACAAGACAGGGTTTCTAAGCATACGGATATATAGGTAGGTATAACCCAACCAATTAGCCGCTTCCTTAGCATTTTTAACAGTACCAAGTACTATTTCCGCATTAAGACTATCCGGTAATTTAGTAATGAATTGACTTTCAATCGGTAATTGTTGATTTAATAGGGATAAGTAGTACTGCAATTCACTATGATTCGTTATCACGATACCCTCTCCAATAGCATCGTACTGTGGTCTACCCGCACGACCTAACATTTGCAAGACATCCAAAGCGCTCAGCTCAACCCAGCGCCCCTTCTCTGGATTATAAATCTGTGTTCCCTTAATAATAACAGTATGTGCGGGTAAATTTACGCCCCAAGCGAGAGTTGCGGTCGAGATCAATACCTAAATATACAGTAATAATTTATTACTAGTATATCAAAATTTTCGGGAATAACATGCTACGTAGCCTAACATTCAGTATACTAATTAAGCATGCAACAAGTAAGTTCTTATAATAAACTGTAATTAATAAAAGAAATAGTAAATACTTGGACATGTTTGTCAGCAAATAAATCCTCTACTAGCGTACGATCGACCCTGAAAAGTTAACAAATAATCTATTAAAAATGTCGACCGAAATAGGATCTGATGGTATTAAAAGCCGACGTTACCTTGTCATTCCAGCATGATGAATAGCAAATCCGTAAGGTAGTAATTCCTTGAGTTCATTGTTCTTCACAAGGGAAGATAATCCCATTATTATTATTAAATACAGACTAGTATAATATATAACTCCATACTAGCTTGCAGCATTAGTTAAGAATGAGTATTTACTAATCTTACGCGTACCTTGACCTGATCAGCTTCGGTTCTTAAAATTTCCGTACTAGCAGAATCTTCTCTCAAGAATTTCCCTATGGTATCCTTTTCAAGGCACAAATCCCTTATGGCTCTAGCAGTCTTTCCGGTTTCTTTTCTGGAATGAACGAATACCAAAACCTGCAGAGAGTTTTGAGAAGGTAATTGCTAAAGAGGAATTGTATCCACAATCGTTAGAAGTCCAAAGTAGTTAGTCACTTGTACCTGATTTTTGCCTGCATGTTCAATAACCTTATCGTAGACAATGTCATTCATAGCCTGTAAAGGTTAGAGTAAAGAAAAGCATAATTGTAGTAACACAAGTACACTATAACGAAAGTGGGCTTTTCATAGTGTAGTGATGTTTAGCGGAAAAGCCATTACCTGAAATCGTTTTAATGGTTTCTTTTCAGTGATTCCGATATATTTTTGCTCAAGTGGAACTGGACGAAAGCTGTTGTCAAAGAAGAATAGGCCTTTCGAAGGCTTTACACGTAGGAATGTAGCAACATCTTCATAATTCGGTAATGTAGCACTAAGTCCAACCAGTCTTACAATCTCCTTAGTCATTTCTATTTGACGAATTGTTCTACACAACGATAATTCAGGCCAGTATCAGACTGTGCTTAAAATTTATTCATTTCCTAAACAAAAATTGCTAACCTCGCCACTATCGCTTCCAATACAGGGCCACGATCGTCGTGTAGTAAATGTATCTCGTCCTATAAAATTTTATGTGAAAGACAATATGAACAGTAAGATTAGGATAATATTTATCCAAGATTTGTACTATTACACTAGTAAATGTAAAATTTTTCTAACGTATTGTTACATGGGTAAGACACAAACAGAAATAAGTAGTATTGGCCAATACAATATGCACTTACAATTATTACTAAGCTCACAAATTGCGCGAATGAGCGATCTCCACTTTTGCGAGTTATTATATCCCATTTTTCTGGAGTACATACGATCACCTATATAACGGAGAATAATTCTTATCAGTCTATTTTATTAGCAATTTTCTGATAATTCCCTTACTAGTTTTCTAAGGTCGCACATACCTGGGCTTTATCCATTTGTTCCTTGCTTAGTTGATGATCACCAGTCAACTCATTAACGGTAATGCCATACGAACCTAGTCGCTATAAAAGTGAAAATCTTATAGCTTAGTCCTAACGTAACTATTCGGCTAGTAAGGAAAGCAAGGAAGCACCTTAGAAAAATTGCCAACCATTTCCTGAACTAGAGATTTCATGGGGGCAACGTAAATTATTTTAAACGCCTCGGTATTTATAGTTCCATCTTCGTCAGTATTTTTTCCAATTTCTCGTAGAATCGATAACAGTGCCACATTGGTTTTTCCAGCACCCTTCAATCGACAGGTTAGAGAAAATATTATTTTCTTATTGATTTTTTCCCGAAATTCACAACTGTATATCAAATAGATACTTCACTATAATATAGAGGAAAGACAAATTTGAATCTACAAAGTTTACCGTTGGTGCACAGAGTAAGATATTTTCGTCAGAGTTGAGAACTCTATCGACCAAGCGACTTTGGATACGATTAAGACTAGAGTACCCATCAAATGCAGGCTGAGCATATTTAGGAAGAACACTTATAGGAACCAAAGTCTCTCCAGCATCGAAAGGTTTCGGCTTCAATGCAGGAACATGGACTTCTTCATAACCTTTCCTTGCTTTACGATATGACCCATCAGGTAAGGTACACTTCTTATTTGCCATTAAATGGCTGCCTTCAAAAAATCCTATATCTTCTAGTAACAACATCCTCTTGGATTCGACTGCAGCGGCTTGATTAGCATCTTCATTGGTTACGCCAGCCTCAATTCTAGCAGCACGGGCAGCTTGTTTACGACTTTTTTCTTCTTGGACGAGATCTTCTTCATCAAGAGCTGATAAAGCTCGCAATATATCCACTAATTTAGGATCATCTTTCATTTTTGCTTCAATGACTTGCCTTTCAGCAGGCGATTGTGCACGAGCTAGTAACGTACAATATAATACAGGCATACGATTTTTGCGGAGAATTCGGATAAAATTAAACTGGTCAATTCCAAGAGCTATAACCAATTTGTGCTCACATTCACGGTCATCGCCAGCATTCTAACAGATAATAAGACATTATTGCGCCGAATTCTGCTACAGCTTCATCAGTAATTTATATCCTAAGAGGTAATAAATGAGAGTAAAGCTTTCAAGAGTACCTGCAAAATATCAAGGACTTCTTCAGCCTTCTTTTTGGATACCATATGATCACCATAAGCTTTATTAAGTTCACGCTGCAACCAATAAGCGTCAATGCTGCGTGGCTCAATGCAATCCCGCGAGGTCTCTTGATCAAGGCTACTGTCGTCTGCTCTTCCACCTTTGTGCAACGTACCACTAAATTCGGCTTCCACTCCTTCGGTTTCTTCTTCAGAATCTTCGTCTTTGATATCGTCATACCGTTCTTCAGCCTATATTATAGCATAATTTATTACTCACTACTACGGTATACAGTAATGCAATATTGCAATATAAGTTTAAGTACGGTTCATACTTCATCATCAGATTCATCAAATTGTATAGCAACACCAGTTTCTTCAAGGTTTTCTTCTCTTTCGACAGTTTCCTTTTCTTCTCCATAGTCTGAGATTTTCTTAGACAAATTCAATAACATGGAAAAACGTTCGTCTAGAATAGAGCCTAGCAGTGATCGAACTGCCTGAGCTTTTTCAGTTTCCTAACATTAGAATTTTATAGAAAAATAATGGTATGCCCAGTTAGTTTTTATTTATTAAATATTAAAAATACAGATTAATACCATGCCGATAACAGTAACGGGGTAAAATTTAACAGTCGTGCTATGTGATAATTGAAACATCAAATACAAGAAAGGATTCTTTACAATACCACGAAAATATCGTGTTAATCAATAAATCCAGAGAGAACTTTACAAACCCTCATTTTATCATTTTTTAATGCTGCTAGCACTTCGTCAGCGGCAGCAACTAAAATTTCTCGAGGTTGATCTCCAAGTGATCCTTGAACAATATTTAGCATCAGTTCGTAAGTGCTCTTTGTTGCTCTCGTCTTGGGTTTATAGATATTTGGCATGTCGAATAGATCAGAGGATAATAAACTAGCTTGCTTTGATTTAAGGATATCTTGTCGCTTCTCGGACGTGATCTTACGCCGCCTTCGAAGTGTCGAGGAAAATTTTTTATTAGTGATAATGATACAATAATATATAGTTGTACAGTAGTACTGTATGCTATACTGTACTTTGGTTTTGCTTCTTCTGCTGTTGGAGGTTTCGCTCTTTGGGCTTTATCACCCATTTTTGTTCCGACGAGGTGGCCAGAGAGCGAAGTAACTTCACCAGTTGATTCATCCCTCCCGCGCTTTTCCAGCAATGAGATATCAGCTTGGAGAACGAGGTTAGAATTCTGAATAATCACAATAAGGTTGGGGGGTTATTAGTTGCAGTAAAGTTAGGTTAGGGAGCATAGGGCTCATTATTTTACAGTATCATACCGTACTTGTCAGAGGTTATCACGCGACCGTAAGTGAAGAAATCAATCATAAACCGCACTAGTGAACGTACGCGTATAACTTAATTTAAACGTAATTTTGTTTTATGGATCATGTTTTCTAAATAGTAAGGGCACAGCATCGTTCTAAGCCCGGTGGTTTATGTAGTACTTCATTTACTTTACGTTCCATTATGTATGAACTTACCGCTCGGTAATCATATTGTAGTGATCTTGCAGTGGCATCAGCCATTATGGAAGTCTTAAGGATATACTCGTGGAGTAGATATCTAGAGATAAAAGAATATCCTCATAAAATATGATATTTACTGTAGTACATGTACACTAGCACACTAGTTGTTTATTAATTTGATATTCCACAAAGAGGAAGTATATAAGCAGAGTATATAAGTACTTCTCTTCGACAGCCTGGCGCTACAAAAACGGCGAGGAATTAATTAGTTGCAGAACTTGTAGCTATAATGCGGTGCTTGTTGCACAGTACGCGCAAAAAACAGTAAAGTACAGTAGTGTACTGTACTGTACTGTACTGTACTGTATAGTAAGTGTACAGTACAGTACTTCTCTTCGACAGCCTGGCGTTACAAAAACTGTGAAGAATTAGTTGCAGAACTTGCAGCTACAGTACAATGAGGTGCTTGCTGTACTGTACAGTACAGTACGCGCAAAAAAACGTAAAGTACAGTACTATACAGTACAGGTACTGTACAGTACAATACTGTAGATACAGTAAAGTTGTACAGTACTGTACACTAATGTACAGTACTGTACAGTAGGCTATGCAACTGCATACTGAACAGTACAGTACTGTACAGTACAGTGTACACTGAGTGTACATGTACTGTAGACATGTACAGTAGTACAGTCCGGTACAGCACTTGCAGCCATTCACTGTACGCGTACAGTACTGTACAGTACTGTACTGTATTCGAGTATTATACTGTACTCTACTGTACAGTATATATATACAATACATACAGTACAGTACAGTAGGACGACGCCATATTGAAAGGCAGGAATGAGTACGCGCGTGGTAGAGGCGTGGCAGCGTGCAATAGTACTGTACAGTGTACAGTACAGTACTGTAGTGAGAGACAGGAAACGAATTTTTATCGACAAAAATCTACAGTACAGTACTGTACAGTGTACGGTACGGTACAGATTCTGCTCCGTTATTAAAGTTGTCCCTTTTGGGCTACCGTAGAAAGTCCTGTAATCGCACGTACTGTACGGTACAGTACGGATACGACAACAAACTGAGCCAGTAGCTTAGCGTTAGCGTAGTGGATCGATTTGTAAATACTGTACGTATGTATGATTAGTCAATAGTACTGTACAGTACTGTACAATGTACTGTACAGTACTGTACAATGTACTGTACACTGTACAGTACATCGTGAAATGATACTACACAGTACTACTGTACTGTAGTCTACACTACAGTAATGTCGACGATCATCCTTATCATAACGCAGTTTAGCCAATATATTTACCTTAATGCAATGATGATGTGGTTAACAAAGAAGAGTGTTGTACAGTACAGTATATTATACGCGTAAGCAACGGGAGCGATCCCGTAAATTTTATTCATTTCGTTACGGCCAAAAAAATGTCGATTTCAGTAACTCCAATTTAATAATAAAACTAAAAAAAACACTGACTTATGTTATACTGTATGTTACGTTATGACATACTGTACAGTAATAGGATTACAGTATGCTGTAAGTAAGCTTGGTGTCACTTAGCAATATTACGAATGGTATTTTCAATGTCTGTACTCTGCAGAAATTTCTACGTTAGAGCAATTCGTTTCACATAAAGAAATTGTAAGATAAAAGGGACTGTAAAAAAGACTCTTATACTGACCTATAGAAATGTATAAATACCCCGGCGCCCGCTCATTCGAAGGGAGAGTGAGTGGGATTCTACACTCTGAATCATTCTACTTAATAGAATATCACTACTCTCTTATTAATGTCCAGCACGTTGGGCATCTTCACAATTACAGTGTTTCTCGTATCATAAATCTTGTACTATAATAAGTCAACTGGCTAATATTGGTCATCAGCAATTTCTAAGATAGTAGTTATCAATCATCTAATATTAGCTTTATAATCAAATACGGGGGCGCATCACTACAAGCCCATATACTGGTACTGTACGTGTACAATACAGTAATAAATGTAAAGGAAGTTTCCAGTCCCATTCCCATTATTTTTGTAGTTGCTGGTTGTACTGCATTTGAAATGTTTCTCGTACTACAGAGTCGACAAACACCGGTGATCTCATTGAGAGCCTTTGTTGCTAACTTGCATGCTTTCACAAATTTGACTCAATTTACAGTTAATAAAAACTTATAGGTACGTAATAGCTGCCAAGTACAGTAGTGTGAGTCAGGGTACTGCAGTGGAATTTTTTTAACCTATGGAGTACTCTACATAAAAGAGTCATCGATTTACGGCAAGTAAAAGAAGTTTGCAGTACAACACTGAATTTACTTATAATTAATTCACGATAGTCTACTTTGTACATGTATGCAAGTAGGTACTGTGCATTAAGTAGGACACTAAGTTTTGCAGAAGTTCGTTATACCGGTAAATACTATAAATCTATCTATTTCTTCCAATCTCCAATTCAAACCTTTTACTGCAATCATATAAATGCTATAAACAGTGGTAAGTAAGCTTTTAGATCAACTAAGAAGGATTGGAATTATAAGCAATCTTTCTTGGACACCTAGCATTGACAGTATCATAATAGCCTCTTGATGTGGTATTATGCAAGTGCAACTGCAAAGCCGGTAAATAGAGGAAGAACGTTATGTTTGTTTATATAAAATCACTATGACCCCTGAATTCCGAGAAAGATCACCGCACTGAAAGCTTTATATTAGGCTTTCTAAGAATTGAGTCCACCTGCCGAGCCAGAATGCTGTAATTCGGATGCAATTAAGATTAGAAAGAGCCCTGTAATTAGCGTCAAGTGATAAAGGCTCAGCAATCTTCGACTTTATTAATATGCGTATATGGGTATATTTAATCTAGTACTAGCACTAGCACATCTGTAATCTTTCAAGCGAGGAAATACGCATTCAACTAGGCCTTTTATAACATGTCGTTAACAATATTCACTAAGTTCGAATTTAAGATTTCAAAATTTTAAATGGGCTGCATGCATTGCCAGATATTAGAATGTACGGTTGTTTTAGTTAGGTGGATACTCTATAAACTTTATAGTGACATGCTATCTTCATCAGACAGGTGATCAACACTAGTGATCAGTAAAGTTTCCTTGACCTTTAAAACTGTATTATGTTACTTTCAATCACGCCTAGATTGCTGGGAAATTAGCATGGTGTCATTTCACGCCATGACATCATCTTTAACTCGCAATCCTATACTGGCATAATAATTTTACTTTATAAATTTGCATGTCAACTTATTTATTTCCACAATTTCTAGCTCTCCAACAGAAGATATCTTGAAATTTCGCTATGGATTCTCCTGAAAGTAACTTTATTAATAATCACTTTCATAGATTTTTTAGGCCTGTAGTATTATATAATACCGCTGCAGACCGTGAACATCAAATGCTAATAGCCAACTATCCGATGGACTGCAGTTATCCAGTAAGCACGATGAGATCTGAAATGCCATCTATTGCACCATATAATCTGCAGTCTAATAATTTACCGCAGCTGTCATCGGTAGCATATTATCATTCGCCGGGTTGGTTATCGACTTCACCATCTACATCACCATCGGTATCGACATTATCCACTTGTAATTATTACAATAACCATCACGAGTATAAGCATCCTTCAAGTCCGTTGATTTTAATGTATCATTATGCTAACATGCTTCCATTATCAACAACGGGCCAAGCTCAACATGATAAAAATAATCATCCTGTTCTTGATTCTAAATCTGTCAAAGCAGTGAAAAAAAAGCGATATCAGTGCCCAAAATGTCAGACAAATTGCTCCAATAACGGCCAGTTACGTGATCATTTAAGAATTCATACAGGTGAGAGACCATATCAGTGTGACTTTTGTGGTAGGCGGTTTACACGTAACGAGGAATTAACAAGGCATAAACGAATCCATACCAATGAGAAACCATTTCGATGTCCAATTTGTTTTAAAAGATTCGGCAGACGCGACCATTTAAATAAGCATATCAAGACACATTCTAACGGAAAAAGGACACAGAGAAAAATTTTCGAACCCTGCAGTGAAGAAAATTCGGAGGCTCGAAAATCCGAAGAATAAATTTATAATTTGTCAGATTTCATCGATATTTTTGTATTAATAGAATTTTGGTTTCACGAATTGTACTATAATAGTAACATGCATGGTTTTATGACTATCTTAGGCGTTTTTAATTTGCATTTTATGAAAGTAATAATCTCAGGCATATATTTCACAATATGAACTGTTAATATTTTAACTATTATCTAACAGTTAACTTATAAGATTTTCGTCAATGGCCAAATTTTATTGCCAATATTTGTCGTGCCTTGTTCAAATTCTGTAACGTATTTAAATGATACAGATTTCTATATAGTCAATTTAAAATCGCAAAAACAAATCCTATTTTAAGTGCTTCTCATTTTATTTATCTCAACCTATAAAATTAATATTTGATACGTAGTTACACAATTATTTTAATTTCGCGAGTACTTTTTTAATCCAACTGAATGTTAAGAGGAAATAGATGAGCACTGCAGATTTATCTTCAATAAACTTTAAAACACTTCCAAACCTATTCTTATATTAACAGTGTCGTCTATAAAATTGGATCACATCTTAAGTTTTGCTGATACTGATCGTGAATGAGAGAAAACGAGCGACCATGCTGCTAGTTATAAATGGCTACGATTTTGCTACATATATCTAGACGTAAATTCTCCTGTCTACTATTTCGAGATAAAACTGATCAAAGTCTTAGTTTACTAACTGATTTACTATACCATTCGTGGAAGAGATTATGAGAAAATTTATGATATTTTACTCACGTTAGATCAAGCAAACACTGTACAAATAAATGCTCATAGTTGCATACGCGTATTGTTCGTTGCACTAGTTTAAATCACATTAGTAACAGCCTATAGGTATGTACTAATATAGCGTTCGTAATGTTATCGTCTACTGCATAATACTGAAAGATTGCTTTTTAACTGCGTTATAATCCATAACAACACTTAATAAGACTTATTTCGTTTTAGGCGAGTTAGACATTTTTACACGAATAACAAAGCCGTCGCACTAATAATAACGCAATTTTGACCTTAATGAACTATTTTGTTAGCTGCATATATACGGTAGTTATCATTGCGCATCACATTAAGTGTAATAATTATATATAGTATGTTATATAATCGAACGAAGGGTCTACCGTACTAGCAATATAATAGCGATACAGTACTTTCGGATTACATACATCTCGCGTGTTATATTTCCGCAGCAATTAAAAGTTGCGTAGGGATAAATAGTGACCGCGAAGATATCCATAATTATTTCTTAGCGTTTTGTTGAACATTGCGTAGTACTATAGTATTGCATTTTATTTAGCTGCCTACGAAATTGAAAAGACCGAACTGTAGTATCTCCGTCAGAGAAGTGACTGGACGTTAAGCTACGTAGTATAGTATACGAATGTATAAACGCTATGGGCGTATTCGGATAATGAATTATAGCTAATTTTAGTCATTTATACGATGAAGTCTACAGCTTAAAATTAAAGTTTCCGTGATGATTAAAATAATTACAACTATCATACGCGTACACGTACAGTATATTACTTCAAAATTATACAGTTCAATTTACCTATGGCGTGCGTGTATCTCTTAAAATGTTGCCTACAAGTAGGGTGACGTGCACGATTACTGTTTTCATAATATTGTTGTCTTGATTGCTAGTGCAACACTGAATACAGTATAGTTACTCATTGAAATATAGTTGATATAAGATAGTATCAAGATATCAGAATAGTCTTATTGACATTTTTAGGAGTAATCTTAACAGACCATCCATGAGTAAATAATAGAGTTATAAACACTTTCAGAAAGATTTAGAGTACCAATATAGCATATACAAACGATAGTATACTATAGTAACAATCAGTTAAGTAGATATAGCAGCAGATAGAATTACAGAAGTAGCATTGTGGATTATCAAAAGTGGCGCTTGATTAACGCGCTATAAATAAGTCCGTAATAAATGCAGAACTTCTATAAATTCTGTGCGAGTCTACAATTATAATTATTTCACGTAACTTAATTAAAATAAGTTGATTTACGCCTGCTAAGACCCAAGGTAGCCATCAGTTCATCATATCGCATAGCTTCGAATCTGTGACGTAGCCAAAAGCCTCTTTTAATTCGTTCAGCCTTTCCGGCAAATCCACGTTCTGTTCTTTATTAATTTTTATACTCAACACTTTTCCATAAAGGTCTTTCAAGCGAAATATTAAATTGGGATCTCTATATATTAAAAAATGTAGTATATTTATCTAAATACTTATAGGGAAGCTGATAGCTGTCTAAATGATAGTCACCTTTTCTTACAAGAATTGGCAGCTAAAAGCATATTTCTTAAAGTTGTTAAAGTCTGCTTCATAACAAGGCCTAGCAACTTCGTCAAATCATCATATTGAAAACTCCGGGTTTGAAGATTAACTGGTATTTGTGTACCACTTTCTTGCTCCTGGATAATTTTCGAGGTCGATTTTCGCTTCTTTCTATCATCAATTTTCGACGAAATGTGATCCAGTAGCGGTTTCGTATCTTTGAATTTGATCAAGATACTTGCTAACGTTCTCAGTCTGGTGCTCGGGCTAATATTTTCCACTATGTGAATAATTAGAACAATATAAAGTCATTCAACCAATTGGCAATTTGAATCAATGGAGATTACAGAACAAGAATCATAAAAACCTTCAAGACTTTTCAGAGCACACTGTTCCAAATGTATCCGAAGACATGCCATCACATCTGTATCGGGCTTAATGAGGGTCAATGATTTATCATAATATCGATTCGCTAGAGTTCTAAAATGCCTAATACGTTGTTCATCCACAATCTATGTTATAATCCATTGTAATACCGTTAAAGATTATAAATTAAGAAAGAAACCTATCATATTCAGAGATAATTTTTTATTAGTCTACCTTTTGACGAATCGAGTTGTGATGTAAAGTTGCTAAATCGAAGTATACATAGCCCATTTGTTTAACGGTTTCGGAATGTTTACTATGTACAACAAAAAATTCTAATAACGGCAAGTTTACTATAAAAAAATATGATAACTTAAGCAATTACTCTGACATATCCTGCTCCCTTAATTGTATTTCATACAGGCTAAGGAGTTTATGGAGCAAGTCGGTAACCTCTTTTTCAATCTAGTATCAATAGATAATAGATAACTTTCCGATAAACATTGTCATAGGTGATTTATAGCAACAATATCTACGTCTATACGCGTATAATGAACATTCATACCTCTTCTATGCTCATATAAGCCAAAGGAGGATATTCCTGAAGTAAGGTAGCAAGAATTCGATACGTTCCGCATAACTGATCTCGAATTGAGTCCCAAATTTGCACATAGTTTTTCCGGACTCCCAAGACGTTTATAGCTCGAATGTATGCTTCTATTGCCTACACCGAAAATTTACTAATAGTCACCATAGATAACTGGACAGCTTTATAATATAATTTTTTGCCGATCTTAATTGCTAATAGAAATCAGCAAGAAACTTTTAAATTACAGAGACTGTACGGATTTTTTAAGAAAGCCAATCTATTTCTTTTACCTTATACATATACATTTTTTCTTCTTCTGTAACTTGCCTTGCTTTTTCTCTTTGCTTTGATTCTCGAATTCCAATAGAATGAACATATAACCTTAACAGCCGTCCAATATTACTATTTAGTAAGGCAATATTGGGCCTGTAATAAAATGAATATCGTAATGATCATCGAGAACACATGGTATATTATAGTTAATGATTTAATAGAATGCTAAACATCTCCCGCACCGATCAGAAATAGTCTCAAAAGTTCTAATGCCAGCTTCAAAGAATGCAGCACTTTTTTTCCAAGCTTTCTCAGCAGCTTTAAGTGATGGCTCTATAAATAGAGGAAAATGGATTATTTACGATATCTTGAAATAGGAAACGAAGCTGCCTTAGTTGTACAGTAATTCAACTATTAATGTTACATACCATCTTTAGATGATATTTCTGCTGCTAAAGTCATATAGTAAGTACCCAATTCATTTCTATTATTTCCAATTCTTTTGGTAATTGCGATAGACTGCTTTCAATAAAAATACGTCATACCACGAAGCGTCAGTCAATTTATTGATCTCTAAGAGCACTGACAGTAACGATGCTGCACATAGTTAGAGATACTACTCTCGATTTTACAAGATATATTTAAGATTCAAAAATTCATGTTATTAATTTTATAAAACTTCATTATTGATAATTTCATATTTACTCTAAAGAATAGTACCTCATCATCTATTTTACACTGGTGAGCTAATGCCATTTTGTAGAGCGTCTCGCTGTAGAAATTAATAAAGTATCAAGTTCGTAAGTAAAGAACCTATAGATCCGTTAAATTTTCCCCACCAATTTGTTACCTATTCGTACGTTAGCGAAAAATACTACGCAAGTTTTAAATTTGCTTGCCTAGAAAGTAAGCACTCTTCTATGTTACTTGCGAATTCCTTGGGGTATGATTGTAAACAACGGTCTGTATTTATGAAATTTAAAAACTTACAAATTTGTTACAAATATAATATTTTCGGAATCAGAATATAACTAGCATTCTACAAAACCGACCATTATAAAATTTATTTAAGGTTTTCAGGACACCAATTATGGTGTTTTCATCAGATGTCGAATCGGAGAATTCTTTCTGTAATTTTTATTAAGCCGAGGTCGAATGGAAATATCAAATTATTATTCAATACTTATGCTTTACGAATCATGAAAGCACACCTGAAAGTTGCGGATGCGACCTGGTACCTATATGTCGGAAGCAATTTTTTTACATTTTACCAATTGTAACTATAAATCTATTGTAACCATGAATGTCTATAAAATTCTTCAAGAGCGTAATCTAAACTACGTAAAACAATTTAACACGTGTCTAAAATCATTATTTCGAAGTCAAAAAAGTAGTAAGCATTATTCTACAAACTCTAGCAACTGAAAACAACAGAACCTTCTACGACTCATTAAGTGAAATCTGGAATTAATAAAATTGACATGCAATAGATATAAAACAGCAGCGGTAGTACAAGGCTAGCCTACTACAATATATCGCTACTTGATATAACAAATTACACGTGATGCAGGTAGATTACTAAATTATTATTTTTGTCAACGCATGATAAAAGTTCATGGAATAGAATTTAAAACTGACTACATATCTGAATTTTAGCTGTAAAGTATCAACAGCATTATTCACCTTTGTAACTTTCAAAAATATATCTCCTGCCTTGACTAATGCGGCCTGTATTGAATTTCTGTGAAATTGGCATTCGGCTGTGCGACATTCATTAAGCAGAAATTCTAGTTAAAGATAAGTTATTTGTTTAGGGAAAAATGACATTCGAAACCTGCAACTTATATTAATAATTACCATCACATGCCAAAGATAATTTTAAAAATCGTACTGCAGCGCCATATTTCAGGCTCAGGTCCTTAATATGCGCTAGTTTTAAGCAGGCTCGTTTCGCTTGTTTCATAAAGATTATTGTTGATAAATACTTGCTATCTTCAGTTGAAAAGCAGCTTTCCGATAATTCTTCATTTTTCTTGCGCAAGCTGGAATGATTGCATTTATTATTAGTTATGCATTTAGCGTTAGCACATGCTAAGCATGATTCAGTTTTATCCATTTGGTACAGTCTTCTTCCTCTGATATTGATTCCAGCCTCTATAATCGCTGCTCTTCGAATATTAGCCGTACTTTCTAGACCCTGAACGAAGTATTAATGAAATTAGTAATTTATAAGAAAATGTTACGTCTTCGGTACGGATGAAAGAGTTCGTAGAACTGTTGCTTCTATGAATTAATAAAAGCAGCATTTTACGACAATCAACGAATACCACTTTACCAGACTAAACGAACCTGAGAGATGTGCTTCAGCGCTTTCCTGTAGTTCTCTTCACTATTTCCTACTACAGGAATAGGCTTAGGAGTTCGCTACAGCAAAGTCAGGTAATATTTTAAACTATATACAGTATTAGTGTAAAGTGCATATCCGTAAAAATAACAGTACATACGGTATTAACTTCTGAAAATAAGATATCATCCGTGGACTCGGCTTTGAAATTTACAACGGATGTTTCCTAGAATTTACAAATAAGTAACTCAATTGTTATCAATAATAAGGCAATCACTCAATATTTTTGTTCATGATATTAAAATACCAAGGTATTACATTAACTATTATGTTCTTCGTAACGCTGGTTTCATTTCTTGTACTTGGTAAGCATTTGATACAGCTATCACAGTATCTGTTGCATTCATACTTTAAAAGCTGATCTGCATCAGAATTCTCGGTGGAGCTTTCGATACATTGGCATCCCGACTTTAATTCAGTAATGTCGATTAAGAGTTCACTTAACATCTGATTTGCAAGGGTGTAAATCTAGTTGTTTAGAAAACAAAGATTGTGAAATAACTACGTGAAGAAGCACCGTTACTATGTTAATAATTATCAAGGGCCAAGCCAGTGCAACACCAGCAGTAACCCAACTTACCTCGGCATTAATTACTGGATCAAGCAAAGGTATACAATTTTTTAAAAGTGAGTGAACTGAATGTAGGTCACTAAAAGTAACAATAGTACTCAATTACATTGACGATATATATTTAGAATTAAAGTAAACCGGTTATGCTTTCGCTTTATTTTTGCCTACCTATTACTTTTTTTTTCCAATTTGCATAGATTGTATGCTACCCTGTCAGGTGAGGTGTTATATTATTACCTTAAGTTATCATCACTTTAGTGGGTATATGGATGATACCATATTTATGCATTTACAGGTAAAATATATCAGATGTATAGCATTCATATATGGTACAATTATTAAATTTTTTACTTATATAATAGCATTGCAACTGGTAATTGAAAAGGATTGCAATCTGAGCCCTCTCCAGTCTAAGGAAATCGATACGAATATATTAATGATAACCGGTATTTAAGTGCCATTTTGCATATTCTCGGCATTAGACAGAAATTTATGAATTATATTACTTAATCCACCATTATACTTATCATACAATACCTCTGCACAGAGTGAAGTTAAATCATACAATTTAATAATATCTTCGTGTTTATCTTTTAAAAGCCAGTATGTGTGACCTTCTTGCGTACAGTTGGACTTAAGAAACGATAGAATGTTTCTCGCAATATCTTTTATTAGCTAAGCATATTTAAGCAATTTTTATAAATAGTTAATAGCGAGAACAATGCATATTTTACTAATAGATATTAAACAATTATTTATTTAACTACTGTACCTTAGGCGAAAACTGACTTCCTTCAGCTTTGGGAATATCTTCAGTTTTGATTAGTTCATAGTCCTTTGCGGTAGCTAAGTTTAAGTATTCTACATCATATGCAACATTTTGTATCTATTAAAGAACAATTCTTACTTTAACGATTCCGTTCAAATGATAACACATTGCTAATTCGGGAACATTACACATCAGATTATCCAGCCAATAATCTAGGCCAGTCAGAACATTAATGGGCTTCCCAAATTCTCTTTCGAATACAAGAATCTACTTCAGAAGCAGTCTCAAGCCAATATATACTGACTAACTTTACATTTTCTCGCTTACCCATGTCGTAAACTAACAGCAGGATGGGTTCCTCTCCCAAATATCGGCATATTTGAACCCACTAGCATTTTAATATTTTCAAATTTCCAAATTACGTTCTGTTGAAAGGCGGCCTAAAATAATTTTTATTTCACAACTTTAATACTAAAATGGAATATACCGAAGATATAGTTAAGATATTGATTGAGGAATAATAATGAGGAGAAACGAACAGAGCTCTTGCAGCTATCTAATATCGACAATGGTAAGGCTTTATGACTGGAACGGGCTAATTCGTTTTTCAAATTTACTTCTGTGTTACCAAACAAAGATACTGTTTCGTGTTTAATCGACGCTTGTGGATCTTTAAATAATGAAGTAATGTTATTCATAGACAATATTTGATCCAGGTTTCTTTCATTTTCTATGCTAAAAGATAAGATATATTGCGTATCATCTTATACTGACATAAAATGAACAAATCGTTACAGTAAGTAGCAAAAAAGTCAATATATTTAGAAATTTATAACTTGAAACGGCCTCTGTAATGTATCGTATTGTACCTATAATACAATAGTCGCGACAACATATCTCTACTACTAGTAACTTTCTGATTCTTTCTTTTTTGATAAAATATTTCATCCTAATAAGAAATGTAGAAGACAATCGGCAACAAAGGCTCATGCATAACGGAAATGGGGAATTTAGACAAGGAAGAATATCACAATAACTTGATTTACAGGCTTACAGTGACGCAGTATAGTTATTTCACGTAACCCATACCTTAGGTTTATTTAACTGCTCGCAATAAAAGTTCTTAAGCCAGTCCCAATTTTCAATCTATGTAATATTCAAAATAGCAATAAAGTTAGTAAATATAGCAGCAAAGTCACAGTATCTTTGCCTGTAATGATGTTTCTTAAGCAACCTTAGTAGCATCCGCTAGTAATCTGTCGACATTAAATTCGTCAAGTAGTAACGTCTTGCCGATGCGATGAACAGCTAAGCTTACAGTTGCCGGGCTAATATAAACAGAAACATTAATACGATAAAATTTCACAATTACAGTACTCTCCTAAAACGTGTACTGTAACAATTAATAAATTATAACATTGCAACAACTACTAAGCCTTCACTCGCTACAGAAAAGGATTTATATTATCATGCTGGTATATATCTACAAAATAAAATTTGCATAGTTTATAAAAATTGTATAAGTACAGTATATACGTACATATTAACGTATTTAATGCCAAAATATCTACGTAATAGCATAATTTAATTACCTGAAAGGCATCTTCAATAGCTTTTTAATATTCTTTAAAAACCGATAATATTGCAGACCGATACGCATACGTACAGTGAGAAGTGAAATATGAAAGAAAATCAGTTATAGCGAAGTATCAGTCAGCTTTCTACCTTAGCATCCGAAATTACTTCAACTTTATCAATTGTTTCTGGAAATGCGTCGGCCAATGCAAAGCTGAGTCCAGATATAATGGAAAAGAATACAAGACAATAATTTGATAAAGACTAGATTATATAATGTTATCACTGGTTTCACTCGGCTGTTGCAACTATATTTATAAAAATTCTTTTGAGTAAATTATCATAATCTACAACAGTAATTGAATAAGAAGACTTAATAGGGAAGTGCTATTGTACAATAATATTATTTAAAAATTTCAGCAATTCACTGTTGGATATTAAAGATAATACCTCTAGAAACATATAGACTGTACCTCGAGAGTTCGAGCGAATTTTCTGTGGGGAATAAGTTTTGTATCCACCTGGCAATCTTCAGCCAATGTAAGGGTGGCTGGTTAAGGTTAGTTTCCTGATGTCATTGATAGAGGAATCGATAATTTTAGCGGAAAGTATCAATGCAAATAGCAAAGGATTTTCGTTGAATAGGCAGGCATTTACTTATATTATCTAATGCG